TGCCAGACAAGGTCAAGAAACTGCAGTGGCCCCCTCCCTTGTTGCTCCCGCTCTGAACAAACCGAAGAAACCTCTCAGCTCTAGCAGTGCAGGTAAAAAACAAACCAAACCACCCCCGCCCACAGACAAATAATGCCATTTCCAAATAATGGTAGTCTAGGTATTTATTCATTCATTCAGTATTCACCCAGAAGTGTTTGGGTAGCCATAGGTTTAGGGATCTTAAATAGCATAATCCCAGCCTTATGGCAGGAGCATGGATTGTGACATCAGGGCCCTGTGTTTGTTCTGAGATCTCTGGAGCCTCTATAAGCACTTCACCTCTGCCCTGTTTCCTCCTCTGTAATAGGGGAATTTCAGTACTGGCCCAGAAGTCTGTTCTTGAAGCCTGGATGAGTTACTGTTTGCAATTTTGCCAACACTCGTTGGTTGTATGGAATAGAAATCCCTCAGGTTAGCTCACGTAAAGGAGAGTTAGTTGGAACACAAGGACATTTCATCTTAGAGCCCTGGGATGGGAAGTTGAAACCGGACCTGAACTCTCAGAAAAAAGAGCTTTCCAGGTCCCTCGGGGGCTGTTCTTGGTTCTGCATTGTCCTCCTGTCTGCAGAGCAGCTACCTGTGCTTACTCACGGCTTCCCTGCCTTTCTAGAACCTCAGCTGCTAAGTTCTGTGATGCCAGCAGAATCTAGGAGGCAGGGGAAGGCTGTTTTTAAGAGACTATCTCTTGAAGTCCCAGCCTAGTGGGTTTTCCCAAATGTGTTTGTAGTGATACACTCACAGAACGTGTGTGTACTTTATGGAGCGGTGGGTGTTCTACAGATGCTAACTCCTTTCCAGAAGGTGGTAAGAACATTAATTAAAGTTGCATAGTACCTTGAGAGGGCCTGATCTATCTGGTAGGTAGAGAGGGATGTTGTGTGCTTTGTAATTTTTATAGCTTTATTGAGCTCTTGATTGACTTACCATACAGTTCACACATTTAAAGTATACAAGTGTACAATTGAATGGTTTTTAGTACATACATAGGTAATGTTATACTATTGCCATGATCAGTTTTAGAACATTATCATTACCCCCCAGAAGAAACCTCATGTGCACCCATTAGCAGTCACTGGGCATTTCTCCCCAAAACTCGCTCCCTGACAGTCCTGAGCAACTGCCGATCCTCTGGATTTACTTATTCTGAATATTTCTGAATGGAATTATAGAATATGTGGCCTTTTATGTCTGACTTCTTTCATTTAGCATAATGTTTTCAAGGTTCATCCATGTTGTATTATGTATCAGGACTCCTTTTTATGGCTAAATAATATTCTATTGTGTGGCTGTAGCACATTTTATTTATTCATCAGTTGATGGTGATTTGAGTTCTTTCCATTTTTAAGCTATTATGAATAGGGCTGCTATGACCATTCATATACAAGTTTTTGTGTGGGCATATGTTTTTATTTCTCTTGGATGTGTATCCAAGAGTACATATTCTTGGAGCAGAATTTTTGGGTCATGTGATAACTCTGTTTTAACCTTTGGCAGAACTACCTGACTGTTTTCCAAAGTGGCTGAACCATTTTATTTTCCTAAGCAGAGTATATGAGGGTTCAGATTTCTCCAGAGATTTCAGCTTCTTAGAATGGGGAATTGCATAGATAACCCTGTGTATTTCATATTTCAAATGCTGCTAACAGGCTTGTGGAGGGATTAAGTATTTAGTCTTCAGTTTAAACATATGCTAGAGATCCTCCAGCGGAAATGCTTGTTACTCTGGGTGGCCTTAAGGTCATATGGTTGTTGAATAGTTTGAAATGTTAGGAAGATTGAGATATTTCTAAACCTGGCATAATATATAAACTTTGCACAATATTCATTGAATGAATAACTAAAGTCATGAATGATAAATTTGCCTTGAGGTAGCCCATTCCTGATTATTCTTTATTATTTTAACTTATCAATAGATTCGCCCCTTTACTATTTTTTCCTTGTCTTTGCTTTGGTCATTCTTACTGAGAGAAGTCTTTCTATCCTAGTCAGTGTGCTGCTTTTCTCTCCTGACCCTCTAAACACCTTCTTAAAAGGAAACAGGAAGGGGTTTTGAAGCCGTTAGTGGTCAGAGCAGTCTCTACCCACTCGCTCATCTTCTCAGTCCAAGGAGTGTGAGGTTCTAAGTTGGGAGACACCTTACTTTCCAGATGGGGTGTCATGGGTGCCCCACAGCTGGGGCTGTGAGCACCTGATGTGAAGTTTCCCTTTGCTCTGTGAAGCTGCCTGTCTGTGCCTTTAGTTGGAGCTGGGTTCAGGTAGTTCATCAGTTTGTACCAGGTTGACTTTGCCTTTTTCAGATGATAGTCCAGTCCACCCCAGCGGAAAAAAGACCACACCTAAAGACTTATTGCCAGCACGAAAGATCATGGCTAAAATTGGTACTTTCCTGTGCTGCCAGGATGCAGAACCACTTGGGTGATCATGGGGTGTAATCTTGCATGCTGGGTTCTCAGCGGTGGGTCTCTTCACTACATAGCTGTGGAGAGCAGTTTGTCATAACCTCCTCTTGTTGTCTGGTGGGTTCTTTTTGTCTTGAAATTTCTGCTCTTGGAAAAAAAGCCAACTCTGTTCCTCTCTCAGCTCCACAGAGGCCCATTGCAACACACAGAACTACTGCAACCCCCAAGGCTGGCCCAGGTGTGGTGCGGAAGAATCCTGGTGTAGGGAATGGAGATGACGAAGCAGCTGAGCTGATGCAGCAGGTAGGCNGAACTACTGCAACCCCCAAGGCTGGCCCAGGTGTGGTGCGGAAGAATCCTGGTGTAGGGAATGGAGATGACGAAGCAGCTGAGCTGATGCAGCAGGTAGGCATCTCCTGTGTCCACAACAGGAACCCTTTGGGGGAAGGGGCGCTTGCTGCCCTGACCGGGGAGCTTGGTCTGTGTTCTTGTGGGAAGACCTGCCTTGACTGTGTATCACAGCAGTGCTCGTGACATGTGTCAGGGCTTTGGGACCTGTGTGGGGACTGTGAGTGTGGACATGAAGATGGAAGGGGGAGGTGGGTAGCTGTTTCTAAGCTTGATTGTTTCTATTAGAAACCAGTATCTGTTTGGAAATGCACGCATAAGGTAGAACCCTGTTGAAAGTCTCTGGAACACTGTCAGGGATCCTGGGATTCAGAGAATGTCTCGTGAATTTTGGCTCTGACAGGAGATAATGTAGAGCTCCTTTCTAAGTAATAATTAAAAAGAAATTCTGCAGTGTCCCTGCTGAAATCCTGGGTCACTGGAGAATCGAGTGGAGAGTGGCAAAGCCTATGGCTTTTCTGTTCTTAATAGGTAGACGATTTAAAACGTCTTCTTTTGAACTAGTTAAGTATCTGAAGACAGTTGGTAGAGGTCTCCGTAGATCAGAACAAATTTTAGATTTTTAAATTAAACATTTTCTCACTAATTCTTATAGTTGTTTTGTTTGCTTTTGGATGATCCTTGTAATTCAGATTTAAAAATCAAGGATGCTCTGTAATTCTTATGTTTGGGAATGAACCTTTTCACTCCTGAAAGCCAAGTCCTAAAGCTTGGGGGAATTAGCCTCACTTTAATCCAGAACCTCTTGTGACGCAGACCATACTCTGAGGAAATCAGGACATAAAAGCCTGCCCCCAAGATCACATTTATTGTTTTTTTTTTTTCGTTCTTTGATTTGTGTGTGCCCATGGTGTAGGTGCCTTGAGAGGGTGGAGGTGACTGGGTCAGCGTCCCCGTTGTTGCAGCGGCCTCAGGCACGCGGTGGGCACTGTGGCTGTGAGTGCAGGAGTCCTTGAGGGTGAGGGGGCGTCCCTGGAACTGCCGGTTTCCAGGCACAGGTGTACACAGAGTGGTGTCAGAAGTAAAGAGGTGTCAGTACTGAGACTTGGCGGCCAGCACAGGATTGGCCTCACGCTCTCCAGAAGAAGATGCGATGGATTCCGTGGGACTGCTGTGTGAGTGAGCACTGGACTTGGGGGGGGGGGGTGTAGATTTGCAGCTGGTCCTGGCTCTGCCACTTCTAACTTGGGGCAAGTCACTTAACCTCTGAACTCACTGCCTCATATGCAGCGGGGCCAATACTTTACTCTCCGTGGTTGGATGGATTTCACAAGCTGATGTTTTGCCAAGTGCCTGGAAGGGTTTGGGGTAAATGGGGTAAGTGGGGGTGGATGAAAGACAGTTGTGATTATTATGGTTCTTGTCTGTGGTCTTGATAGAGTGAAAAAGGTTTTGAAATATGTTTTCAAAGTTGAGAGGAGTCAGATTTTTTTTTTTATGACATATACAACTGTTAACAGCAAAAACAACTAGCATTTTTAGAGTGCAGGTGCCAGTGCTCTACTAAGCATTTTGCTTTCGCTTTTGCAGCATTTCTGTGAGGGTTTCCAGAGAAGGACAGCAGTGCAGCTCACATCCAGCCTGTCCAGCCCTGCTTCAGAAATAACATGTGTGGCCAGCACAGGGCTTTGATTTTTATCATTATTATTTTCAGTGTGAAGGATTTTAGATTCTTTGCAGGTTGTCAAAGTCCTGTGCACACACTGTTACTGACTCCCATGGCTTATATGTATACATGATCTCTCTGACCCTGAGAGTATTTAAAGTGGTGCACTTGATAAAGGGATGGAGGTCTGGGGGACATGACCATATTGGTCATGAAAAGTGGAGCCTCATGGGCTTGGTGGGGAGTGTTTTCTACACAAATTACCTTTTGGTGTTCATAGCCTTAGGAGAGCTTCAGTGATTCCATATTCGTTTTTTTAAATGTAATGAATTTTTATTTTTGACTGCACTGGATCTTCACTGTTGTGCGTGGTTTTCCCCTAGTTGCGGAGAGCTGGGGCTGTTCTCTAGTTGAGGTGCACAGGCTTCTTGCTGCAGGTGGCTTCTCTTTTTGTGGAGTACAGACTCCAGAGCATAGTCTTTAGTGGTTGTGGCACATGGGCTTAGTTGCTCCAAGCCATGTGGGATCTTCCCGGACCAGGGATTGAACTGGTGTCCCCTGCCCTGCATGGTGGGCCCTTGACCCCTGGACCACCAGGGAAGCCCGAGTCCACATTCTTAAGTCATCCTGGGGAAGTGTACTGTTAGTTGACTCTAGTCCAAAGCAACACTATTCAGTAGAAATAGAATTCAGTAGAAATAGAATGTAAATTGGAAATGTGAGACATACATGTATAGAACTGAAAGTTTTCTGGTAGTCACACTGAAAAAAGTAATAAGAAACAGATTAATTCTAATAACACATGACTTGATATATTTAAAGTATTAGCATTCTGACGTGATCATTGCAAATAATTATCAGTGAGATGTTTTACATTTGAACACTGTACTGGGTCTTTGAAATACAGTGTGTATTTGATAGTTACAGCCTGTCTCAATTGCACTGGCTACATTTCAAGTGCTCAGAACACCACCTGTGGTTCATAGCTACCATATTGGCCAGTGCCAGGTCTAAAACGTTCTCCTTGGGCTTCTTAGGTTCCAACTGTTACTTCACTGTAAGAGGATTGTATGCTTGTTGATTGTTTCCTGTGGGTTCATGGTTATTGAGGGATGTCAGGGAGGGTTGCTGCCTTGGCCTTGTGGGTGGGGCCTGTTGGGCTGGTTTCTGGTGCCCTGGATGATTTATAGGTGGGAGAATGTTTCAGTGGGCTTATGGAGGAGGCACTGGTGTAACATGCGTGTGCAAGTGGTCTCAAGGCTGCCGTGCCGTGTTAAGTGCTTTCCTTTCCTTCTCATGTGATTACAGGCGTCTTCTCTCACTTGGGGACCTTGGGCAGAAGATCCAAGCAGCTTTCACTGCTGGGGATAGTCACCTCTGATCCTTTGTCCCCTTCTCCCCCTCCACTTTGGGAGTAACTGATAGTTTAAGGAAAGGCTACAAACAGCACTTAAAGCAGGGGTGGGGAGAGTGGGGGCGAGTGAATTATTTTGTTTTGCAGGCGACTAGGTGGTGTTATACTTTATTGAAACTTTTTCAGCTATTTTTATTTACTTTTAAATTATTTATTTGTTTTTGGTTGTGCTGGGTCTTTGTTGCTTTGTGGACTTTTCGCTAGTTTCAGAGAGCGGGGGCTACTCTCTTGTTGGGCATGTGGGCTTCTCATTGCAGTGGCTTCTCTTGCTGCAGAACACAGGCTTAGTTGCTCTGCGGCATGTAGGATCTTCCTGGATCAGGGATCGACCTGTGTTCTTGCGTTGGCAGGGGATTCTTTACTGCTGAGTCAGCAGGGAGGCCCTTTAGTTATTTTTAAAAGTGATTCCTGTGGTTGCTAGAGGAATAGTGAGAGTGTCTAGAACCTTGATTCTAGAGCCTTGATTCTGGATCGGTCTGTTCAGGCCTTTGATAGCAAACATTGAAATTAAGTCTGACAAAATGGTACTGGTGGTTCCAGTCACCTGCTCCTCATCTCTGGATGCCTCTCAACTGCAGGTTGTGAGGGGGCAGGACTTGTTCCCTTTGGTTGGGCCTGGCTGCTGCTTCAGGCGGTGGGGAAGCTGGATGAGCTGTTTTAGTAACTAGACGTTCAGAAGGTGGATTAGATTCCTGTAGTGCTTCTGGCTCGCAGAATTCCACTGGCCACATTGTTCTCAGCAGCTGCACCTTTGATTCCCTGGCTGGGCTTTCCATGGCCCTAGCCTGTAAGGCCTGTGAAGATTTTACATTGTACCATTTGCCATGTAATTTGCATTCAGTGAGAGTCATAGTTGAATATACTGGAATGAAGACACACTGGACTGTGAGAGTTGTTTTATGACTTTTATTACTCTTGGCTGAACAGAATCCTGACCCATTCACTGAGATGTGTTTTGTCATTGCCTCTTTGTGGAAATTAGAGTCCCTCAGTGGGGCTCCTGGAAGATCCTGTGGCGTGAGTGGTGAGCTGATGACATGCTCAGGGATCTAGGGGTGGAATATGGCGGGGTGTGCCCCTTTCGTCTGTGCTTGTCTCTCCCTTTTGAGACTGTCTTGGGGGAGAGAGTGACGCAGGGACCCTGTCATCAGAGGGTGCTTTTCTTTTGAGCCATGGATCACACCCTAGCCCCAACATATTGGGGAGAGAAATAACTATTGAGTTTCTGTGCTCAGGTCCCCCTCAGTACTAGCTATCTTTGGCCCGTATTAGTTGTCTTTAACTAGTTTTGCTCTCCTGCTCATCATTTCTACCCTGCTCCCTTGGACCAGACCTTCTCTTACCGTTGACTTCAGCTTGCAGAAAGACCTGGACTTGACTGACCCAGTGTCCTGGTATGGACTCAGTATATAATTGGCAGCCACCCTGCTGGGCCAGGTTGTGGATTCTGCTTCTATATTTGTCTCAGCACCCATGCCTTTTTCTCTTTGATCTTGTCTTAGTCTCTGAGAAGTACCTGCATGTTTGCTCATGTAGCCTGTCCTTTCGCAGGAATTGTTATAGTCAGAGTGCCATGAATAAGCCCATGCTGTTGATCTGGGGCTGAAGAAAATTGACATCAAGTTAAAATGGGAGTTTTGTTCTTGTTAGAGAATTTGATGAAAAATCACACATCTCCGTTTGGGTTGGAAGTTTAATCTGATGTCCTGTTGGTGTGTGAATTCTAGGTGTCTCACCCTTTCTAATGTTTTGTGCAGGTCAACGTATTGAAGCTTACTGTTGAAGACTTGGAGAAGGAGAGAGACTTCTGTTTTGGAAAGCTGAGGAACATTGAGTTGATTTGCCAGGAGAACGAGGGGGAGAACAACCCTGTGCTGCAGAGGATCGTGGACATTCTCTACGCCACAGACGTATGTGCTGACTTGGGGATGTTTTCTTGCCATTTTGCCACCTAAGAGAAAATACATTTTATCTGGTGGTTTTGGCAAGCTCAGTACTGATGCTTGTTGTGTTTCAGCATAGCATTCGTTTAAAGACTTCATCATTGACCCTTAGAGTCAGCCAGAGGGGGGTGGGGGGTACTTCACCCTCTGCCTTGAGGTCTGAAGCCTTTGAGGCTGGCACAGGACGGTGAGGTGGCCAGCTGCCCTGCTTCTGTAGCTTGTGGCCACTGGTAGGTCACGAGTGCCACCAAGTGCTCTTAATCCTGCCATCCCCACTCCACCCCACTCAGCTGGGACCCCTCAGTCTGAGTTGTTGCCTCTTTTTATATGGCTCCAGGTGTGCCCTGGAGAACCAGGCACATGGCCCCTGTTTGATGTCTGCTGCCCACAGCTATGAGAGGTACCCTTTTCCTCCCACACTGGCATGTGCCCGGTTCCCATTTCTCCACACTGTCTTGCGGTCAGGTCTCTTGGGAGTCATGTGTATTCTATAGCTGAATAGGAAAAACTCATTTTCCCTGGATTTACGATTTGACATTTTGCTCTGTCCACTGTTTAATGGCTATAATTATTAATAATTCTTTTGCCATGCCCAGCAGTGTCTTGAGGATCAAGCTATAGTCTGTCTTGTCTAAGTGTTTCACGGTATGTGGCCATATACAAATACACGGTAACATTAGTGTTGTTATTAGCAATGTCCTCTAAATGTATTAAGTGAATTTGGGGGTATTAAGACTGATGACTGAAAAGTTGATAATTTGTTCAGTAAATCTGTATTTCAGGCTTGTAGTGTGCCAGATAATGTAAACACAGTTAATGATGATATAGGTGTCTATGGGTGGTTTAGTTTGAGTATTGTTTTAGTGGAGTCATACGTTAAGTAAATTTAGCCATAGAGGTTTAGTTTAAAAAAAAGATAGTGGTTGAAGGGGGAGTCTTAAGTTTTTATGGTGGTGTAGCCATTAGCTGATGCCAGATGCCTGGAGTGAGTGTGAGGTGGGAGTCACACATCTGAGGTTCCCATGCCGCTCATGTTGGGTCAGCCTTGTTAGTTGTGGGTAAACAGACCCCCCGCAGCACCTGCAGTAGCATGCAGGTTCCTTCTTGTTGTTCAGTCAGTCAGTCATGTCCGACTCTTTGCGACCCCATGAACTGCAGCACACCAGGCTTCCCTGTCCTTCACCATCTCCTGGAGCTTGCTCAAATTCATGTGCATTGAGTCAGAGATGCCATCCAACTGTCTCATCCTCTGTCGTTCCCGTCTCCTAAGTGGGATGCAGGTTCCTAAGTGCAGTCAAAAGAACGCATGAAGGAAAAGCTGGCAGTGTGGACAGTATATTGAGAGGAGATGATCTGGTACTATTGTGGTGACTTCAGGGATTTTTGAGGGTCAGTTTTCTTAAATAGCTTTATTGAGGTTCAGTTGGTGTAGTGAACTACATGTATTTAAGTCCAACTTGATGTATGACATTGCCATCATCAAGCCAGTGGACACATCCATCACCCTGAACAGTGTGAGGGTGCGTTTGTGCTCAGTTTTGGCCTTCTGGGCGATGTGGCTCCACTGCTTCACTAATAGAAAAGCAAAAATAAATAAAAGAAAAGCAGCCACTTGGTCTTGTGCCGTTCAGTGCCAAGTGTGTGGTAGAGACAGGAAGAACCGTTGACTTTCAGAGGCTTCAAATATGAGGAAAGGGAACCTACAGTAGAAACTGATCTTTCATTCAGCGTTGAATAATCACTTTCCCCTCTCATCTTCCCATTTCAGGAAGGCTTCGTGATACCTGATGAAGGGGGCCCACAGGAGGAACAAGAAGAGTATTAATAGCCTGGACCAGCCGAGCAACATCCGAATTCTTCACTCCAAATCATGTGCTTAACTGTAAAATACTCCCTTTTATTATTCTTAGAGGACTCACTGGTTTCTTTTCATAAGCAAAAAGTACCTCTTCTAAAAGTGCACTTTGCAGAAGTTTCACTCCTTTTCCAATAAGTTTTGAGTTAGGAGCATTTACCTGTAGCAGAGCAGTATTAACATCTAGTTGGTTCACCCAGGGAACAAAGAGGCTGACCATGGGGCTCACTTTGTGGATGCTGGTAGCACTGATAGCTGGAGAAGGTGGAGACCTCAGTAGAGAAATGTAAAGACTGATTTGAATTTTAAGTTAATGTGAAATCTTGGCAGAGAACGTTTTAATAAATAAATGCCTTAAGAGTATTTAAAAGATGCTTCCATATTTCAAAATATAAAATGTGTGTTTGACATTGTGTCTGGGAAGGAAGGGCTGGAACCTGGAGCCTTTGGGACCTGCTGTTCCCAGCCTTCGCAGGACTGCTTGATCCTCATAAGCCCAGACGTTGGCCCAAAAGCAAAATTTGAAAAGTTATTTTGTAAGCCATTTTGATGTCCTTGACCAATAGCATGCCTGCTAAGAAGCACGAGGCATTGTTGCCTGGATGAATAGAGGGTGTGTTTCAGGCCTGAGACGTCTGAGTCAAAGAGCTTGATTTTCATTGAGCATTTCTCTGGTGATTTTTCCAGTTATCCCTGATAATTCTGTGTACTGTGTGTGTGTTTTTTTTTTTTTTGGAAATGAGGTGTGTCCAGTTTTTACACCTAACAACTACTTTTGGGGACTTGCCCACATCTCTGGGATTTGAATGGGGGCTGTGTCCCGTTTTACTGTCTTTTAAGTTTACATTTAACATGTTCCTCTTCTCTGCTCCCCTTGCCCACTGGGGACTCCTCTTTGGCTCCTTAAAATTTGCTGCTTAGAGTGGAAGTTCAACAGGCAGGTGATCATACTGCAAGTTCTTTCTGGACCTCTGGCAAAGGGAGTGATCAGTGAAGGCCACCACTCCCTTGGGATCTGCAAGGCTGGGTGTTTTTTCGGTACCTGCTGTCCACAGCCCTCCACTGTTATCGGAATACTTTGCCAGTGCACTAATCTCTTTGGAGATAAAAATGTTAGCGTGTTACTAAATGTTAATTTTCTTTTGCAGAAAATATAGTACCATGTCTGAATTAATTATTAATATTTAAAATATTTCATTCCTTAACTCCCTCATTTGCTTTGCTCACAGCTGACTCAGTTCCTTTGGCAGAATTCTGCAACATGTGTGTCACCCACTACTGAGATTGTTCAGCCCCTGATGTATTTGTATTGATTTGTTTCTGGTGGTAGCTTGTCCTGAAATGTGTGTAGCAAGCAGGTATTTTATGATAAAATTGTTGTGTAGTGCATGCTCTGTGTGGAATTCAGAGGAAAACCCAGATTCAGTGATTAACAATGCCAAAAAATGCAAGTAACTAGCCATTGTTCAAATAACAGTGGTGCTATTTCTCTTTTGTGGCCTTTTAGACTTTTGTTGCCCTAAAATTCCATTCTGTTGGGAACCCATTTTCCACCTGGTCTTTCTTGACAGGGTTTTTTTCTACTTTTAAACAGTTTCTAAATAAAATTCTGTATTTCAAGAGTGTCATGTCTTCTGAAATTTGTCTTGCCCTGGGTATATTCTTTTAGGTTCAAATGATAAGGTAGCCAATGCTTCTTCCTTAAATTAGGGCTGATCTTTTGAAATCCTTCACTGTTTTTTTCAGATGTGCTTATTTCTAAGGCTGTTTCTTTTTTCTTCATTCAAACAGGACACTTCTAAGCCTCCTGCTGTTTTCACACTTTCATGTTATTGTGAGAGGGCTTTCAGAAGTGTGGGGCTTGGCCTCAATGCCATGAAGCTTTTTCAGGCTGTTTCCTTCAGAGAAAATCTTCAGGACCGAGCTTGGTGGATACCATGGGGCAGTACTGTTGTATTTTTTCCCCTGAAAGTGTGTTTCAAAGTCAGTAAACACAGCCAATCTGTAACAATCCAAAATCATCTTTAAAATTCTATACTCAGAAATGAGTTCAGAAGGTGATGTGCTGCTATTTTTAGTATGAAATAAATGGGCAGAAGATAGTTTTCTGTATGATCTTTAGGGTACCGACCACAGTTACAGATGATCTGTAAACCAAACTTCATGATTTTCACTAGGATTACATCCATGTTACTTCCTCTAGAAGTTAACAGTATGATATCTTCACTGAAATGTTACACACTTCTGTTACACAGAAGGAATTGGATACCATGTGTGTTGATTGATACTCTGTAAGAAGATATGTCCAGGAGTGCATGGAGTTTGTGAATAAAATGTTGAGTATTGTCAGCTGAGAAGTTACCTTGGAAAGAGTGAAGCTGTTACTGTGTGTACTTCTAACCTAGTAAGTCCATTGGCCTGGCTCTTTAGGCTGAGACACGTAGTCTTTAAATGGGTCTCATTTAGGTTAGGTCCTGGGTGCTGTGATCTTGAATAAGCTGCTTGGTTTGCTTGGCAAGGTCTGTGTTGTATGCAGGATAGGTAAACAGATGGCTGGATTTGGACTTAGGATTCACTCATGCTGGTGGTCCTCAGACTGGTGGGTTTCAGAATCACCTGTGGAACTTGATTGACATAAAATTTCTAAAGTCCAATTGGCAGAAATTCTGAGTTAGGCGATTAGAAATCAGCATTTTACTATGTGCCTCAGATGACATGGTTTAATGTAGTCTTCAGAGTTAATTTTCATCTTAACATTTATCTCTGCAGGCTCAAATGTAACTGGCAGGGGGTATCAGGGTGGAATCCTTGTAGATTCCTCCTAGCTTCATGACTTTTAAGCTATTAATAATTGATCTCTTGTTCTGACCTGCAAAGCAAGGATGGCAATGTTGACTGCAGTGAGTGCCTCCCTCACCAGGTGCTTGTTGACATCAGAATGAGCTGAGAACCAGAAAAAGTAACCACAGCGTTAGAAAGCACTGCTTGGTTCTTCGGTTCCAGTTTGAAGTTTATGGATCAGAAAAGCTTAGGCCAGGGTTTTTGTATCCTGAGAATTCAGGTAGGAGATTCTTCAGATAGGCTTTGAGTATTTTGTAAAAATTATAAGTAACAAGTTCTAATTTTTTTTTTTTCCTCCAGCTTGGACGATTGATGAGTGCAGCTCCTTTCTTTTGAGACTGTCATTTTCATCCCTTTTTTTCCCCCAAGTGAAATCATGGTCTAAACACACCTTTCACCTTTTTCTTTTGAATGAAGATTCAGTGATTCAGTAATTCAGATTCATTGATTTAAAGATAAGTGTTTTCCTTAGGATATAATGTGTTGGAAAGGAAGCAGTTTCCTTTTGCTATACCAAGATAAGTATAGGGAAGTTTTTCTTTAAGGATTGTTTGATGAGATTTGGTATGAAGAACTCCTTTTGTGATGGTTACCATAGTTCAGCATAGTCTACAAACAAAACCTTAGCTTTAGGCCTGATCCGCCTGATCAGATTAGCTTGCTAGTATGTGGATGACCCAAATCTGACTGCTATCAGCAGAGTGGAAATGATTGCTTTGAGCCAAGCTGAACCTGAGCCTGAGCCTGTCTGTGGTCAGTGTTCCGAATCACCAGTCATTTTGCTGGTTTGGCACTGTTGCCATTGATTTAAAACCAGGTGTATATTGTAGTTTTGAATTCATACATTACAGTTACAGAGTTTTAAAACTTGATGAGTTCATGTTTATTTCGAACACTTGCTACTCTTTTCTCAGTTTTCACATGTGAGACTTGGGTATGCAGAGTCCTTTTCTGAAGGACAGCCCACAGAAGAATTCTGTGCTTTTACACTGAACTTGACCATTACCCCACATGCCTTCAGCCAGATTGTTAAGCAGCTATAATTTGTGAAGGCCTGTTTCCCTTTTGGCTTAATCTGAGTTGGAAAGCAGTGTTACCTTAGCCTAGCATACAGCTTTCTGTTGAGGTTGTGGTCAGGTTGCTTCACTAATTTCATTATCTAGATAAGCAGGTCTAACCTTAGAGTTGGAATTCTGGGCCCCTTATTCCAGGACTATGTATATATACATATAGAAATTTTAAAAATTAAAATAACCTATATTTCTTTTGAATTGGAGGCTCCGAGGTTCTGAAATATAAAATGAACATAGCCTTCACAAACATGTTTCTGGGGGTAGGGTGAGAAAAAAAAATCTTTATCTTGTGATCATAAGAAGAGCAAACAAGTTAGCCTTCAAAGCCTAGAACTTCGTAAATGGTATTGAGAGACTTAGAATTACAGAGTGATCTGTCAGCAGTTTGAAATTCTGTAAGATGTCTTTTTCCTTTAAAATTAAAAAAAAAATTGTCCCTTCTTCCTGGACGATTGAATATTTTTCACGGTCTGTGTAGGAATTGGTGAGGATAGGCTGGATGCAGGTATGAAGAAGAGGAGAAAGAGCAATTTACTGTATTTGCTGATGTTTTTAATTTTCACTTCTAGTGGGAGAATGAGATTTGGGAAGCTGGTAGTGAGGTTCAGTCCACCAGGGTAGATCTTAACAAAGCTGTCTTTATGTCTCTTACTAGTTTCCAGCAGGGACAAAGATGGGTTTCTAAGACAATCTTCATGGATGATTCACAAACTGCAGTGTAGAATATTATAAAGTTAAGCCAGGCTCAAGCATGCAAGTGGGTGGACTGAATATATAAAGGGAATATGTGTCTGGAGCCCTTTTCTGACCTTTAGCAAGATGAACGAAGGAGAAGTGCTGTGATAAGAGGCCAAGGGCCAGGAGTTGAGACCAGTGTCCTCTTCCAGGCCATGCATCCCTGGTCTGCAGAGCTTTTCTTTGCCTCAGTTAGGAGATGAGTGAGGATGGTTTCCCTGGGATCCCTTCTGAGCCAGGAAAAATTACTTAGATCTGTAAAAGCCAGCAGGATACCAGAGCCAGAAAGAGTGGGAGAGTGCCCAGTTCCATCAAGTGTTGCCTCTGGAGGCCAGGTTTCATCAGTTAAACAATTTTGGTTCAAAAAAAAGCACAATGTTTTCAGCATCAATGACATTTTGTGTGTGAAATTTTGAAAAAACTCGCGCTGACAATGAAATGGTTTGTAAAGTGTACACCCTTTTGTGTTTTAATAAAAGTTTTGACCCTGAAGAGATTTTGACAGGTGAAATAAAAAGTGGCTCAACACATGAGTTTGGCTCTCTCTCGCCCCTGCCCTCCCCCCATGGGCTGCAAGCTGCAGGGAGAGCTTTGCTAATGTAGCCATTCCTGGCCCCCTATTTAGTGCAGGAATCGAAATGTATTGCTTCCAGATCTGTCACGGTTTACCCTTGTCTAATCTTGAGTGACCTTCAGATATCTTTCCTCTCTTGCTTGCTTCACAGTTACTTTATCACATTCTTATTTTATATTTCTCCTGATCAGGCTCATTTATATATTTTGGAGTAGTTCTAATGATTTTAAGATCCAGCATACCTCAGGGTCATCTGGGTTTTTCGCATTCTAAAGTTTTCTCACCTGATACTGCCTTTTTTTTTGTATTTTATGTTTTTCTACAAAATAATGTGAGTTAAATATGTGTAATTATATATGACTGCTGTTTTTACTTTGAAATTTAAACGCTACCAAGAAGAATGGAATAAACTTTTTTTTACAGGTAGCTGTAGGCGAATCCCAGCTTGCCCCTCTGTGTGCCCCTCCCTTCCTACTAATTTTAAAGGCGGAGAGAAGAAACAATTATGTTGAATGAAATAAAGTTATTTTAAAAAAAATTCCCCAAGCATCTGTAGCTCTCTTGGCTTAATTTTTGTTTTTTATTCTTTTTTGGGAGGAAGTGGGTAAGTAGGTACTAAACCGCCCAAAGAAGCTACTGTTTTCTTTTTCTTTTTTTTGAAGCTACTGTTTTCTTGAATCATGAGTGGTATTTTGAAATCTTTGGTATTTGAACTGGGAATTCTTTCTGGCAGTGGGGTGTGGTGGGAAGAGCATTGTTTTAAGTGGCATGTGAGCTGAGTTGTTGGGTCTCAACTGAAGGTGTAATCTTAACGTTCATTAATCCCTGGGTCCTCTGCAGTTTCCAACAGTCACTGGCTTCTGTCTTGTTTATTTGATTTTGAAAAGGAAAAAGCCTCTCCTTAGCATCAAGATGCACCTTAAAGCTTTTGATACATTTTATAAAGCTGAGGATACAAGTCTTCACTTTTGTTAGCTTTATTAAGGAATAAATTTTTTTTAAAAGTATGTTAGGATACAACTTTTTAAAATTAAAAAAATTTTTTTGGGCCACACCGTGAATCATGAGGGATCGTAGTTCTCTGATCAGGAATTGAACTTGAGCCCCCTGCATTGGAAATGTGGGGTCTCAACCACTGGACCCCCCAGGGAGGTCCCAGGATACAATTTTTGACATTTTAAAAACCCACAGTGGTAAAGCCGAAGAGAGCAGAGTTGGTACCACTTCTGAGCAGAGCTCAGAAGGGCCACCTTCCCTGGATGAGTCAGCCATGTCCTTGAGTGCCCTTGAAGCCTTCCGGCAGCACCCATCACATCTCCAGTGTTAGGGAGTAGAGTAGGGTCTCCTTGGTATTGGCAAGTGATGCCTGAACTTGTAAGCATTGAGCAGGACTTTGAACTGTCTCCAGGATTGTTTTGTACAGAGGTTTTATCTAGGAGATTTTCTTTTTTTTTTTTGTTCAACACCTTCCCTCCTGCTTCTGTTTTTAGATGAGTTACTGGTTATCATGATTTTATTCTTTTTAGGTGAGGGTTTTCTGAAGTTTTTCTTACCTAAAAAATGGAATACATCTTAACTAATTTCCCTGTTCTGATGTTTCTTGTTTGGGAAGGAAAATGATATTGTGAATGAATCTAGCATACCCATGTAAAAAATGTGGATAAACACGGACAGCTGTAAAATGATAACATTGGATTGGAAAATGAAAGCCTCAAGTCAAAAAAACAGTGGGGAACAGTCAGATGTAGCACCATCAGCCTTGTTTCTGTTTTTTCTTTTTTTAAAATTTTAAATAAACCCTTCTAGTTTATTAATACCTAGTTTAATAAAACTGGTTTAAAAGACCTGCGTCTTTTATGACATTTCATTGAACCACTTTATTTCTCATGCTTTACAGTATGATGAAATCTTTTGTCTTTACTGTTGATGAAATGGGAGCAGGAATTGTTTTCTGTCTGTGGGTGGTCTCTGGTGAAGATCTGGGGAAGGGGGTCTTGGCTTGGTGGTCAGTTAACATTTTGGTAACATCTAGGTGATCATGAAATGTGACTCAGCGTGGAATCCGTGTCCCTGTTTGAATTCTCCCCCAAGAGATTTACCTTTGGCCAGCTGATGCTGCTGAATTGTGCCAGGGGCAAGACTGAACAGTGCTGCCTCAAGTCCAGACCTGCCATGAAGTCTGGGTTTATAAGACCCTCGTGTTACACATGTTTCTCTTGTCACCTTCCTCTGTTTTGGAGCTTGGGATTTCCCTGGTGGTGCAGTGGTTAAGAATCCTCCATGCAATGCAGGGGACACAGGTTCAGTCCCTGGTTGGGGAAGTAAGATCCCACCTGCCACAGAACAACTCAACCCACGTGCTGCAACTCCTGGAGCCCTTGAGCTGCAATAACTGGAGCCCTCGAGCCACGACTAAGAGAGTTGGTACGCTGCGACAAAAGATCCCACCAGTGGCAGTGAAGATCCTGCGTGCTGCAGCTAAGACCCGATGCAGCCAAATGAAGACTTGGAACTTGTGCAGCTCATGTTAAGAGGGCTACTGTGCCTTCCACTGTCCCCCAACTGTGGGGCCAGTTCGTCTTCTGGATTTATCGTTTGACTTGCTGGCAGTTTTCTATGGTTTCCATGGCAGGTGGGTTCTCTGTGCTGCCTTTGTCCTGTGGATCATCCACTCATACTTGTCCTGGCTCCAACTACTGGAGCTCCTCCTGTCGGCTGTCTGCTCTCAGCTCAGCTTCATCAAGAACAAGAAAGTCTCAGATCGGAGGAAAAAGGGCCGCGTGGTATGGTTTGTGGGTTGGATTCTGATGTTCCATTTTGTGTTCTGCATGTGGAATTCTGTCTCATTTTCTTGGTTCTAAGGGTGGACAACTGACCCTGCAGTCTGTGGAGGCCCTTGGAGTTCCACAGCGACTTCACAGAGGAGCCACTCTGGACTTGGGGTGGCTGCTAAGATGTTTCAGTCGAGAAGGAAGTTGAAAAACGATAAGTCTCCGTTAAATACAGCGAGCAGTATTAACTGGGGAGAGCAGATTGGGTCAGGGTGAGTGTCTGGGGTTAGTCTTTTCTAAAACACTGGACCCCTGGGTCCTAAGATCCAGTTGTTCAGTCACTCAGTTGTGTCCAACTCTGTCACCCCATGGACTGCAGCACACCAGGCTTCCCTGTCCTTCACCATCTCGCAGAGCTTTCTCAGACTCCTGTCCATCCAGTCGGTGATGCCATCCAACCATCTCATCCTCTTTTGTCCCCTTCTCCTGCCTTCAATCTTTGCCATCATCAGGGTCTTTTCTGATGAGTCAGTTCTTCACATACCTGAGACTCAAGGCCAAACAGGAGAGCTGAGCCTATTTCAGCTTGATTTCCAGGGCAGTTTTTACTGCCCTTGGTCTTCAGTCACCCAATGCTAGATTCTTACAAACAGCAAACCAGTTATTCTCCCATTCCCCGCCTGCTCCCCTAGAGGCAGTTCTAAGCTCTCACCCTTGTTTCCAGGTTTGTACCAAAGCCCTCACCCCAACCCCAGCCACCTTCCCTTCAGAGCAGGCTTCCTCTCATCTGCTCTCATCCTACATGGATACTCTCTAACTGAATCTTCTTTCCTGCCAGTACTTCTCTCTGCTTCTTGTGCTTTGCTCTTGGGTATCTTTAATTGTCCTCCACCAGTTATTTTTTCCCTTTTGTGGCCTCAGTCCTTGAACACAAACAGAGCTCCCCTCTTCTGGTTAAACTCATATTTCTCATAAAGCTTATAGTTTTGAAATAATAAAGTTTTAAATAGATTTAAGAATAGAAAGAACTCCCCTCTGCCCAGATCTTCTAATAAGCAGGAAACAACATCAATGTCACCTAAAAATGTAAAGTCATGTTTAAATTTCACTGATGGTCCTAACGGCCCTGAGACCTTTTGCTCCCCGAGTCTAGGATCCAGTTCGGATCACACATTGCCTTTAGTTGTTACCTCTCTCCAGTCACCTTCAGTGCGCTTTAATCTTTGTCCTTCATGACACTAAGATTTTTAAGAGTAAAGCCCACTTGCTTAGTAGAATGTCCTTCAGTTTTGGGTTTTCAGGTTGTGGGTTTGTAGGGGATACCACAGAAGCAGTGGTCCAGAGTCCAGCACACCATGAGGCATGGCCTTTGGTTCCCTCATGAGTGTTGTTGACTTTAGTTACTTGTTAACCCAGACTTTAAAGCAAAAGAAAATATGGTCATTTTCTGTCTACCTACCCATGCTTGCCTTCTTAATATAAATGGGATGATACATGTGCCTTGTTAGTGCAGACTTTTTGTATTCCTTTATTTCTGGCCCACCTTTTTCTGCCACACTGGACCCCTACTCTCCATGATCCATATCAACACCCTAGTTTCTATGCTCATAGTTTTGTGTGTGCTGACGGTACAGGAGCCCCTTAGACCCAGGCCAAAAAGGCCCCTGCCCTGAGCCAGGCAACCTACTCTGTCCCCTGTCTGACCGTGTCCCTTCCTACTAGATGAGGGAGGTCCCAGGGGCTAAGAGGATGGCTGCTCAGCCCTGCTGGTCCACCGCCCCTCTTCCCCACTGCTCTCTGGAATTCCCTGCCCAAATCCCTTTGAACCAGATTCCAGAGTCTGGGGGCCTATTCCTCAGTGCATCATTAAAACCTTTTTAAAAAATTGTTTTTACTTTTTTGGCTGTTCCTTGTAGCATATGAGATCTTAGTTTTCCAACCAGGGATGGGACCTGCACCCCCTGCAGTTGGATGTGCAGAGTCCTAACCATTGGACCACCAGGGAAGTCACTCAGTGCATCGCTTGAGGGCAGCCCTGCCTAGGCTTGTGGTGGCCGTGGAGGCATGGGGTGTATGGGTGTATGGGTGACGGTGGCCATCCACATGGCGCCATTTACAAGCCCCCCCCCCCCCCCGCCCCAGCAGGATTGAGAGGGCAGCAGGACAGAGGGCTTGGAGGTCTTCCAGGTTGTTAGGAAAAGTATTTGTGAAGGCACATGAATGTATTTTATTTAACAGTATATTAATCTATGAACATTTTAAGTAACTAGACTTGCTGTGTGGACCAGGTATTTGTTCTTTTGCCCTTGGCCTCGTAACTATTAAGAGTAGACCTGTTTACAGACGTGTTGTACATAGACACGCATATTCTGTGTATCAGCACGTACCTATTCATCATCCTTTTGTAAATATTGGCCTCATTCTGTGCACTCTTCTTTTGCTTATCTCCTGGAAATTCCCCCTAGTCATCTGCTGAAGGTCTGGCTCGTCTTTTTGGTTCCCTGGGTAACGTCCTGAGCGCAGGTGCCTTGACCTATTCAGCCATTCATCTACTAGGAGTCATTCGCCGTACTTCTTGGTGCTGTGAATGACGCTGCCGCCAGCACTCCTGTCCCGTGATCTTTCACAGATGAGTAAACTGTACCCACCATTCATTCTCTTGAAATAAATCTTCAAGATTACCATGAATCTTTTCTGAATTAAAAACTAAAGAGAAATACATGGTTTTATACTATAGACATTTTCTTTGATCTCACCTGCCAGAAATAGCTGCCATTACTTTTGGAGTATATTTTTCCAGGCTCTGTAGGCACGTGCCAACACCTACATGGAATATTCTTGACAGAAATGGACTCATGAATACACCTCTGCAGCTTTCTCACTGGTGACCTTGCGTCGCCATGTTCAGTGTCCTTCATTATCACCGTGGCTCATTCTGGAGCAGCCCAGACTTCTAGTTGACCCACCCTGTTGTCTGTGTGTTTTTCGCCCCCCCTCTCTCTATCCCCTTAGTGCAGCCATTTTTCAGTCCCCATATTTCTGGGAACTTGTTTTTTATTTCTAATTGGACGGCCTAGCATCACATGCATTAAACCACTTTCCCTCATTGTCCCTTCCCTGGAAATGTTTCTGGCATTTCCCTCAGTTACTTGGTTCCTGGCTTCCAAGTCTCCTTTCCTTTGGCTCTTCTCGCCCCTTTGGTCCTTATATCCGGGCTGTCACCGGGACACGGTTAGGTTAGGACACCATTGGCCAGTATCTAGTCTTCTTCCTCCTCACTCCCCACATCTTATGCAGGTGAATTTTCATAACTGCCCTTCATCCTGTTCAGACTTCCTGGTGAAGGTATTTAAGATTATGCTTCCATTTTTCTCCTCCTTCCTCTTGCACTATTCCTCCCCCCATCCCACCCCAGGAGCCCTTTGTCAAGCCAGATGGCTCATTTGCTCTGTCCCCCGAGCCTGTCTGGGACTCATCTCTTTCCTGGCCATTCCCCTGCCGCCCTGGAATGCCCTCTTGATTCCTGCTGGTGGCACTTGCTGATGGGGTGGATGGATGCTCCTAATAATCCAACACAACACTGTCTTCCATCTTCTGTGAAGGTCTGGTGACCCAGGGCAGTGTGCCCTTTATATTCTCAGAGCAGAGCTCCCTGGAACAGACCTCTCCCGCACACTTGCGCCTACCCCCATGCTGCGTGAGGGGAGTCCTGTCAGCTCCCTAAAGATGTCCTGCCTCCAGGGACATCGAGGGCTGGGCGTGGGGGTGCCTGTCGTGGAGAGTCAGGGGCCCTTCTGGTCCCACCTTTGGTGAATGGAAACCTTTGACCCTCTGGAAACATGCTTTCCCCGGACCTTATTTCCCTAATCTGTGGATTACAGTTGGACCCCCGCATGACCTTCTAAGCCTTTTCTACTTCTGTAAAATGGGTGACTCCCTTTAGGAAGCTGCTGGCATGAAGCCAGGAGTATAGTAACCTGAGAAGCCTCAGGTCATCAGGAAGACAGCTCTCCCATCAGCGGAAAGAAGGCTTGCAAGTATAAGCCCTGGAAAAGCTCTATGTTGGAGAAGCCCCAGTGGGAAGTGGGGTGCTTGTCAAATGCTAGTTAGGGGTCCCCGGGCCTAGGGCAGCCACCTTCTCCCTTGACCTTGACCTCTTTTTCCATTCTGTGATGCAGCCAGGTCAGCCTCCTCATGGTCCTTACAGAGATCAAGAGTTAAAGCCACTATCATTCCCTATTCTAGGTCGAGACCTGTGTCTTCTGAGGACTTAAAAGACAAGCCTCTGCCTCGAAAGGTAAGAAAATCCTGAGTTGATGATGGGAGGGGTATTTCAGAGATGCGACTTCATCCTTTAGCTTCCACGTCTGTTGATTATCAGGTAGGTTATCAGCCTCCGGCACGGGGCGAGGGGGGGGGGGTGGTGGTTGCAAGCTTAGATATTTATAAAATGTTGATAATTTAAGTCTAAGCTGCAGTAGGCTGGCTTTGCCTTTTAAAGCACTTCATGGGCCAAATGCAATAAACCTGAGGTCACCAATTTGTAGTATCTACTTGGACTCTACTTAATTTTGTCCAGCCAAGTTGTGATAACGATGGGGTGGGCTGTGAAGAGTATTATCAAGTCAGATGAGTATTCAGTGTCCATTGTGTTCTTGGGGCTGGGAAACTGAGAGATAACTAATGTAGATTAAATGAAGATAAACTAAAATGCCCTGACCTTCAAAGAACTCACTTTGGTACTTCCCTGGGGGTGTAGTGGTTAAGAATCCACCTTTCAATGCCGGGGATGTGGGTTGGTTGGATCCCTGATCGGGGAACTAAGATCCCATGTGTCATGGGGTATCACAACTGCTTGTGATACCTGCGTGTCACAACTACTGAGCCCATGCACCCTAGAGCTGGTGCTCCACAGCTAGAGAGGCCCCTATGCACCTAAACAAAGAGGCCAAGTGCAGCAGGGAAGACCCAGTGCAGCCAAAAATAAATAAATGAAGAGCTCACTGTGAGATGGAGAGAAATAACAGTTCTCATGGATTGTGTAATACAATGTGGTGGGGCTTCATGTGTGTTCAGGTGTCATTTCGTCTCACTACAACCCTGCAAGGTGGTTATTAGGGAGAGAGATTCTGCAGACAAGGCAACTTGTGGTTCAGAGAAGTGAGGTAATAGGCCACACTAAATGAGCCTGGAGCAGGGAGCCAGGCAGAATCCTAGTCCAGAGATTTGGGACTCTACCATCATGTTTCCCTCCATGTCTTGCTGCTACATGTATGGACAGACATGCACAGGAGTCATGCATGCATGGCAGATGGGAACAAAGAATTTGGGAGCACAGAGGTGGCGGTGATGACTCTCACCTGAAAGTCACTGAGGAGCTCCTCGGAGGAGGTGCGTTTGAGCCAGACTTTGAAGAATGGGTGGGACTTCACCTCTGGAGGTGGTGGTCTGTGCCGCAGAGAGGGAAAGACGTGAGTAGATGTGGAATGTTGGCTGTGATTGTGGGGCGGTGGAGAGCAGTTGGTGTGCCTGAATCATGGTGTGTGTATTGAAACTAGAGACAGGTCAGAGCTGCATGCAGTGCCATGCTCAGGAGTTGATAGGGATGATGGGAGTATTCTGGAAAGCGTCAGCTGGGGTCAAGTCATGATCAGACTTGCCTTCCAGAAAGAAGATTGGCTCCAGTGTTGGGAGGTGGATTGGAAGGGAAAAACAAATTCTGGTCCCAGTTGGGGAAGGGCACTGCACTTGTCCCAGCAGAAGGCTAGGCCTTAAGGTGGGGCAGGGGTGGGGGAGAGGAGGGTTTAGAGGTAGGAACTGGATTACAGTAAGAAGCAACATGAAGGTCAGTAAGAATGCAAGGGAGGCAGAGGGAGGAGCCAAAGATAGTGCTGGGATGTTTAATCTGGGGGCTGCATGGCTGGTGAGAGAATTAACCAGCTCATCTGCTGTGCTGCATGAAGGCAGGTCTCCACTCTGCTCACTGGTGTGTTCAGTGTCTGGTACTCAACAAATGTGCACAGACCCTGAGTGAATGAGGGCAAGTTCACAGTTGGATTTGCAGTTGGATGAGCTCTGTGTTTGGTGTGCTTGGGATAGGGTGAGTGAGTAATCCAACCTCCACCTTGTCTTTTGACTTTCTGAACCGATGTCTCCTTGACTGCCCAACACCCAAAGCAGTGTATTTCAGTGGGCAACACTCAATGGTTACCACATAGTCCACACCTGGAGTCTTCTGGGGGAGGCAGCCTTTGATGACCTGAGCCTCCAGTAACCTGCAACACTGTGCCGAGTGTCAAAATGAGTCTCGTGTAGGGGCTGCAGAGAGGAAGCCTTGTGGAGGGCTGAGAGTCCCTGATGGTGGGGACTTCGTGAACTTGGCTGTGTGCACAGGTGATCTGATCTGACCTGGGGTGTCTGGTATGGTCAGGACAAGATTGTGATAGCTGGGGAAGATGGAGCTGGACTCTTTGGGGTCTTGAATTCTGACCACTGAAGATGTGGAACTATATAGTTACCAAACCGAAGCACCTTATAAATTAGAGTCCTGTGATGTGTGAGGTGGGATCTTGGCTGTGGGCACTAACTTCTAAGCCTCAATCACAGCACATGTGTAAAAGAGGAGCAACAGTTAACTCCCCAGAGTCAGGGGACGCAGTTAGATCTTCCTTGGACTTCTTAGGGCTAAAAGTGGTTCAGATCTACTTGTTGCATCAGTAAGTAACACACCATAATACTGTGTACCCCACAGATGTTCTCTCTTTTTTTTTTTAAATAATTATTTTTATTTGGCTGTGCTGGGTCTTAGTTGCAGTATGTGGGGTCTAGTTCCCTGGCCAGGGAACGAACCTGGGCCCCCTGCATTGGGAGCACAGAGACTTAGCCACCGGACCAGCAGAGAAATCCCAGATGTTCTCTTTCAATAGATGTGCTTAAAACTGTTCAGCTCTGGAAGTCACCCCTTTCAGGGCCTGGTTCTTGTCATCATCTGTGTTCCAGGTGTCCTTTGCAGGTGGACCCGGGAAGAACAAGGAGGTTCTCAGCTCCCCAACACCATCCATCTCCGTTAGCCAGACGTCTGACTTCCAATATGAGTCTCAGCTGTTCACTGAGGCACACCTGGCTGAGATGGAGAAGACGTTTTACAGCGAGGTCAACTCGACTGGAGGTGAGGCTGTGTCACGGGCCCAGCCTCTGGCCTCTGCACAGGGTGGGACCCAGGACCCGGCCTGGGTGGGGGGTGCAGGCTGCATAAGCATTTTTGCATCCTGTATGTCCTTTAAAACTTTTCATCATTATGCTCTGTAAGTATTGTAAGCCCACTAGAGGCTATTTGGGACTGAGGGAAAAAATACCCTTAATCCAGACACTTGGGTAACCACTGTCAGCATTTCAGCATGTTTGCAACTGAACAATTTCATATGCATGGCTTGCTATCTACTGCTGTGTAACGGTATTTCTACAAAATTCATGGCTTAAATCAACACACTTTTACTATCTCACCATTTCAGTGGGTCAGGAGTCTGGGCACAGTTTAGCTGGCTCTTCTGCTCACGGTCTCACTAGGCTGTGATCAAGGAGTCAGCTGGGGCTGCAGTATCAACTAGGCTTGAGTGGGAAGGAGTCACTTCTTTTTTTAAGAAAATATTTATTTATTTATTTGGCTGTACTGGGTCTTAGTTGCGTCATTTGGGATGTTTGGCTGTGGCGTGTGAACTCTCAGTTGCGGCATGTGAGATCTTCAGTTGGGACATGTGGGATCTAGTTCTCCGACCAGGGATCGAACCCAGGCCCCCTGCCTTGGGAGGTGCGGAGTGTCAGCCAATGAACCACCAGGGAAGTCCTTGTGAAAGATCCACTTCTAAGTTTATGCAGGTTGTTGGCAGAATTCAGTTCCTTGAAGCTACAGGACTAAAGGCTCTCATTTTGTCCTGGCTATTGGAGGGCGACTGTCTTCAGCTCTTAGAGCTGCCTGCTTCCTGGCTTCTGGGGCTCACCAACATGCTGACTTCAGCACTCAGGCCAGGTGGAAACTCCAGCAGGAGGTGTGCTACCATCACGTAGTCCTGCACACACAGTCCCGTACATCCTGTCACCATTGCCAGCCTTGCTGGTCAGAAGCAGGTCACAGGTTCCACCACCTGCAAGGGGGCATGAATGCTAGGAGGTCTGCCATCACGGGGCCACCTTCAGTCTCTTTGCCCCAGATGACTACACGTGTTTTCACATGTCTGTAAACCATAATTTAATTTCACACCCTCCTTTTTCTCTTAGTGGTAATTCCTTAAGGGTTTTTTTTTCATGTTATGTGATCTGCTGAACCATCATTAGCAGTGAACGCAAGGGCTCCACTGGTTGACTAAGCCATTTCCCTAAACGAAACATTTAGTTTTTTTAAACATTTATTTATTTGTTGTGGCTCTTGGCATCTTTGTTGCATCATGCGGGATCTTTCCTGGTGGTGCACAGACTCTCTAGTGGTGGTGCGCAGATCCTTGAGCACAGTCTCTGTAGCTGCAGTGCATGGGCTTACGACATGCAGGATATTAGTTCCCTGACCAGGGACTGAACCTATGTCCCCTGCATTGCAAGAAGGTTCTTAACTACTGGACCACCAGGGAAGTCCCTAACTTTTAGATTTTTACCAAGTTTAAATAACATTGTGAAGAACATCCTTTGTACCTAAGGTTTTTTTTTTTTTTTCTCTTCAGAGCTTGAATTTTCCCCTTGGGAAAATACACATAAAGGTTACTTATTATTCCTATGGGAGTTCTTTAAGGCATCTTTATTTCTATCCAGTAGACTCGGAGCACCAATGCTGGGACCATGGCTACTTGCCCTGTCAATTTGAGTTTGACAGCCACACTGTGATGTGGGCAGGAAGGGTAACAAATGGCCTGTTTATAAAGAGCAAAGTGAGGCTGGGGAGGGATGGTTTGTGTCTGACCTGAAGCTGAGATGCTTCCTCATCTGAGCTCTTTGAGTGTTGGTGTTTGGCGGCCAGGAGGTGCCACCACTGTCTTGGAGGACCCGGCAGTCCCAGTTTTGGCCACTATTTTTATTGTGTTTTGTTTTGAACAGGTAATATATTTACACAGGTCAAAATTTAAAAAGTGCCATCACCTCACCCTCTTTTTGAAGTAGATCACTATTTTTTTTTAAAACAATAACAGTAAAAATAAAAGTATTTTTACAATGCTGATCCTAGGGAATGTATTAAAGGTAGCCAGGCTTCCCTGGTAGCTCAGATGGTAAAGAATCTGCCTGCAATGCAGGATACCCGTGTTTGATCCCTGGGTCAGGAAGGTCCCCTGGAGAGGGAAATGGCAACCCACTTCAGTATTGTCATCTAGACAGAAGAGCCTGACAGGCTGCATATAGTCAATAGGCTCACAAAGAGTCGGACACGACTGAGTGACTCTCACTCACTCCCTCCCTCCCTCCCCAGGGAGGTTATATTTTCACTTTTGTGCTTCAAGAGCTATTTTTAAAAATTATTTACTTATTTGGCTGTGTCGGGTCTTAGTTGCGTCATGCGGGATCGTTCCTGGCGGCACATAGACTCTCCAGTTTCGTCACCAGAGCATGCGGCCTTCAGTAGTTGCAGCATGTGGGACTAGTTGCTCCTCGGCCAATAGAATCTTAGTTCTCCAACCAAGGATTGAACCTATGTCCCCTGAGTTGCAAGGCAGATTCTTAACCACTGGACCACAAGAGCTATTAATGAACCATTTGTTCATTATCCATGTGAGACTGGGTGAGCATTTCCTTTAAGCGTCAATGTGCAGGGGACCTGACCAGCTACCACAGTGTACCCATCCTTTCCAGGACACCATTGTGTCTAGTCTTTTGTTATACTCAACAGTTTTTTTTTTTTTTTCCAGTAAGCTGTTTTTAAAAAGAAGAATATGAAAATAATACGGCAGTGAACAATATATATAGGTTCTTAAAGAGCAATGAAAGGACTGTCCCTGTAGTGCTGTCAAGAGGAGTTTGTTCATTTGTTCTGCACAAAGGCGCTTTGACTGCCAGCTCTTTCCCGAGGGGACGGCTCTGAGCTCGTGGGCTGATATCCGTCTGATACACAGAGGGACCGTTACGTGTCACTCAAATGTGCAAGGCTCTTGGCTATCACTTCAGATGAGCAGGCTGGATCTTTCTTTAAGCAGGGCACCTTTTGTTCGGCCTTCCATTTTTTCCTCAGTCTAACTGTAAGCGATGACAGTTGTCACTTTAGCACAGAGCGGGTTGTTTTATGAGGAGCATGGAGCAGGGTGAGAGCGTGACCCCAGACTCGGGGGAAAGGCTCGGTGCCACCACTCACCAGCTATGTGACCTTGGGCTCACACCCCGCCTCTTTGTGTCAGTTTCCTCATGCCCCCCTCACCCACCCCGCCACCATCAGGTGGTCAGTGTGAATAACCTCAGGTGATACTGGCGCTCAGTCATCATCATCACATCCCCCAGTGCTGAAGGAAACACTCAGGGAACAAACGTCTGCTTCGCACAAGGACTCGGTCATGGAGAGGACGGGCTTAGCCCTGTACTCCCTGAGCTCATGGCCAGGGTGGCGATAAGGAAGGTCAGGGGGCAGTGGAACCAGGCAGGGTGGCGTGCCGCCTGCTTAGAGAGTCTCTGGGAAAAGGCTTCCCTGTGGAGGAACCAGGCAGCGCCAAGGCCTTGAGGTGGCAGGTGCGGAGACGTGGTGGCTGCAGCAGAGAATGAAGGGGACAGTAGGGGTGGGGTGAGGTCCTAGAGAAGAGCCTTCAGGCCGAGGTGAGAGTTCCATGTATTTGGAGTGGGTTTTAGAAGCACTTAAAAAAATGTTTCTACTTATTTTTTTTGGCTGTAGTGGGTCTTAGTTGTGGCACTTGGTATCTACTTGCAGTATGTGGGATCTAGTTTCCTGACCAGGGATCAAACTGAGGCCCCCTGCACTGGGAGCATGGACCACCAGCCAAGTCCCCATAGGAGTGTGCTTTTTAAAGACTGTGATTACTTTTTAAAAACGGAGACAGGAGTAATCGACCCGTCTGCAGACATATTCCCTTGTAGCCACAAAACCCAGCAGGGGAAAAAAAATTGGTTCTTGTCCTTCTGTTCCTTGTTCCTCTCCCCTTTTCATCTTTCTCTCCAGCCCAAGGTTGTATTTTAATTGCCTCTAAAAGATGCACATCTCTTCTCCCTCTATAGCTTTGGATATATTTTTGTCTCTTTGTTGCCATTGTTGAAGTTTTTATCCTTTCCTATTTATTTATTTATGAGTTTTCATCAATTTTCTTTGTCTCAATGCCTGGTCTGTCTTATTTGCTCAGAAATGGGATCTGATCTCAGATCTGGTCTTTTTCAGTACCCATCCCCTGTCACTGCTCTGGGGCCACCACAATGCTCTCATGCAGCAGGTGTGGAGCCAGGATTTGTGGGTGATCTAATGTTGAACAGATAAGATGGAAAAGATGACCCAGCAGCGTGACCCTCTATGTGCACCACCCCCCAACACCCAGATGTCCAGGAACACTGGCTGGTGATGGGGCCAGGGGTCTTGCGATGAAGTGGACGGTGTTCTCCCTTCTCTCTCTTGAAGCCCTGGACATGAAGACTTTCATTAAGGCTGTGAAGAAGATTCTGAGCAATATGTCAGAAGAGATGCTGGAGGCGCTGTTTTTGAAGGTGGACTTGAACTGTAATGGCTTCATCACCTGGGTGAGGAGGGCGCCCCTGCTGCCTCAGAGAGCTGGGGGGAGGCTGGAAGGCATGGGCCGTGGCTGGTCAGAGGAGCACGAGGAGGGCTGAGGATCCGGGGGGCAGATTCTGGGGGACCTTCTGGGTAGAGGGAACACTTGGAGTCTTCAAGGGGGCCCTCTTGAGACTCCTGAGAACTGGACTTGCTGCAGCTTGTTCCCCTCCAGGGGACAGGAGAGTGTGACAAAGGCCAGTGACCCCTGCATGAAGCCGGCTGTGCCCCCAGCGGTGAGCAGCAGAGGTCTGCAGCTGCCATGTGACACTCCTGCACGCCGGCCTCCCATCTGACCGAGGGGCTTCCAGCCAAAGCCACAACCGTCTCGTGGCCCTTGGTGCTCACTCAGTATCTGTTAAATCACAAAAAGTCAGACTTTTAGAGCCTAATATGCTCTCATGCAGCAAACCTACCCCCTGCCCCAATTTTAAATGTTCTACAATGAGCATATACAACATTTAAGAATGCAGACCACAGTAAAGTACAAAAAAAAAAAAAATCAGTCTGATGTATTGATGTAGAAATGCTGACAATGACAACTAGCATTTACAGCAGAATTGATCTAAGCAGTCTAAATATTATACTCAAGCCTCGCGGGAATCCTATGGGGTAGGTGCTGATAACGTACCTCAATGACAGACTAGGAAACTGAGGCAAGAGAAGAATAAACTGGCCCGAACTTACAGAGTTACTTTAGCTGAGTCAGTCTTCAGACCTAGGGATTTTCCTTCAAGAGTCCATGTGTAGTCAGCTCTGTCATACCTCCCCCCAAGCATAGATGTACATTCTGTTTTTATGTGTGGTTTTTGCTTTCGTTTATTTTTTTAAGTTTACTTTCAATTGGAAGATAATTGCTTTACAACATTGTGTTGGTTTCTGCCATACGACAATGTGAATCAGTCATAAGTATACATATGTCCCTTCCTTCTTGAACCTGCACTGCCCATTTCTCTTAATATTCTATAATAAGCATATTTCTAGCACTCTGTCATCTACACCATGGTCTTTCCTCATAGCTCCCTGTGTCTTGTTATGGCTCCACTTAGTGGTTCTCTCTGGCCTTGGCAATATTTTCGTGAGGCTGGTCAGTAGAGCCTAGAGTTGTTGTGGCTTATGGGTGCTTCCCTGCTATTGACTTGATATAAGAGCTGGGGCAACTCATCTGTACTTATGTGGGTCTCAGTCTTACTGTCTGTACAGTGGGAGGAATAAAGGGATTCCGAGGAGGTGCCAGCTGTGGAGCAAGGTGAGGATCATGTAGAATTACAGACAGGAGATAACGTGGGAGGTACTGTTGTGCCATCTTCACCTACATGTGCAAATAGGCCCTCTGCACAATGTAGATCCAAGAACAGCGCCGGTGCTTGGCAGCCTCCCTCCACCAGAGCCTCCGGGGGCTCCCAGAGACCCTTGGAAGGGGCTGGGGGAGGAGGGGAAGGCACTGGAAGCCGGTGCTTGGTTTGGCTGACACCCACCCTGCTGGCACTTCTTCCCGAGGCAGCAGGAGTACGTGGACTACGTGTTGCGCGAGTTCCAGGGGAAGGAGAAAATGATGAGGGGCCAGTACCGCCTACGCTTCCACCTTCCCATGAGGATCATCCCCCTGTAAGGAGCCTCTCCCTGGGCTGAAGGGTGTGTCGGGATAAGGCTGGGGCCGGCCTGCACCTGCGCCCCTTCCTGAGTCCTCTCTCCATCTCTAAGCACTAGAGTTGTGGCTGGATACACTGTTACTTTGCAGTTTTCATCACAAGCCCACCCTACTTGCCTTCCGTGGGCCGTTTTTCCCTTAAAAGAACGTCTGTTCCTGGTCTCTTCTGGCCCCTCCCATCATGAGGAAGCTGACTGGCTATTTCATGGGTTAAACTTATGACTCTGGGATCCCCACGTCACCCCAGCATCATTCGTGGGTCTCCTCTCTTTCTGGCCACCGTTGTTAGTGGTGACAGTCCCCTGGGGGAGAGGCAGAGCCCGCATCTCAAGGAGCGAGTTTCTCGGGGTGCGGGTGTGGGAAGCTTGTCTGTCCTCCTCTGGGTGTTTTTCCACTTTGGCCTGGGCTCCCCTCTCATCACCTTCCACAGGAATCACGGGTGTGAGATTGTGAAAGTGGAGTTCTTAGTCCAGCGGCTCAAGAAGATTGGGCATTTCCTGACTGTCACCAAGGACGGCATCCTGCAGTTCTGGTCGGAGTCCTTCATGCTGACCAGCTCCTTCAGGGTGAGCGGGGCCCACAGGGGTGGTCGAAGAGCCTCTGCCTTCACGCCCAGCCGGCTTCTCTTCTGGGTTTGTGGGATAGGCATCCGTGCTTGCTCTTGGGGGCAGGTCTGGCTTCCCTGTGGGCCCATGAGCCTCACACTTCTCTTCTGAGACTAGGATACCACCTGGATGTCCACTGCACTTGTATGCCCAACAGACACCCTAAACCCACTTGGTCCAAACTGACTATCACTGTGGCCCACCTTATCCACCAGACTTCCTTGTCCTGTGACCCCAGGGCAGTGAATGGCATTACCATCCACCAAGGTTCTTGTGATCAACCTCCTTTCCTGTCCTTGTCCCACTGGCTCCACCACCAAGTCCTGCTGGTTCAGATCTTCTGCTTGGACCAGGGAGTAAGTCACAGTGACCACGAACATGGGCCTTGGAGCCCAACTGCCAGGCGTAGAGCCCTGACTGCACCATCTCTCAGCTGTGTGACCTTGGAAGTGGCTAGAGCGCTCTCCGTGTATCAGTTTCCTCATCTGTCAAATGGGCCTAGTAATAGCACCCCCTACACACAGGGCTGCCAGGAGAATTATCACGACATAATCCATGCCTGGTGCTTGGAGCAGGGCAAGGCACACAGCAAGCACCCCACCAACATAAGCCGACATTGTCATCACCATGGTTGTCTGAGCCGTTGGCTCCCGGCCCAGTGCGGTGAATGATAAAATGCTCAGAAACACCCGCTGTGGACTTGGCATTGCCAGGCCAGTCCAGCCTCCTCCAGCACATGAGGAAGGCCTGCTCTTTAGAGGAGGCTGAGTGAGCATGCCGTGTGCCTGCAGAGTGTTTCCTAGTTGCATCGGAGGTCATGTCATCCTTTGGGGCGGGAGGATTCTAGGTCATTCCTCCATCCCTGGTGGCCGAAGGAGGGAACCAAGGTCTGTGGAGTTCTAGGAACTCTCTCGGGTGCTCCTGGAAATTTGTCCCTGTGTTCCTGAGGCTGGGGTTTCTGGCACATTCCACTCTCTTTTTCTCTTCTGTGTTTATTGGGGAACATATTATAGCCTGAGATTCTGCTTGTGGCTCTACGTGGTCACCTCAGCGCTCCCAAGGGCCACAGCCTGGGAGGGCCAAAGAGGACAGAGGGGGGGTCCCCTAGAGGGCCGCAGACGTGGGCTTCCTTCCCCGAGGGGCTGCTTGGGCAAGTGGATGTTGGCAAGAGTAAGCCACCAAGCACCAGCCTCGCACACTCACTGTAGGTCCAAGGTCGTATAGACTGAAAGCCCCAGAGTCTGGGCTTCACTTACCAGCTATGCAAGCTTGGGCAAGTCTCTGAGACTTCCCAGGGGTCTGTTTCTAGAGTGAACACCAGCATGTGTGTATGTGTGTGTAGTGGGGGGGGGGGGGTGATGGGCATTACCATCACCTCCATTGCATGTGGGTGAGACCCTAGCCTAGTGCCAGAGAGGGGCTTCTGGGGCCCTGGTCCATTGTCCTCACCGTCCCCGCTGTCAGTGCAGGCCCCTGCTCTTGCTGCTCTGGGTTCTGATGGGACAGTTCAGAGCCTGCATGGCATTATTCAGGGAGTAAAATGCAGATTCCTCCTCTTCCCTGGATAGCGCAGCTCATTTCTGCTGACCCATCATTGCATGGGGTGTCCCCCGCCAGGAATGCCAGCTCAGGTTCTGTCTGTGTAAGAGTTGTGCGAGGCTGGCACCAGGGCGGGAGGCACCCCTGCCTGGCCCAGCTCTCCCCAGTGCCAGGCAGCACTCAGATGCTTTGTCTGTCATGGTTCCATTCCTTCCTCACAACCTGGCAGGACGGTTTCTCGTTAATAAGCCAGGTGACACTGGCAGATGGTAAACAAGATTCAGGCAAAACAAACAGAATGAATATCAGTGTTAGGTATCAATTATATCTCAGTAAAAATCGGAGAAAAAAGATTCAGGCATTGAGGGGCAGGTGTGGAAAAGTCAGTTTCTCTGTCTCTCTTCGTCCCTGATTCTGTTCACTGGAGGCAACTGCAGCAACCAGCCTGTACACGCACCCCGCCTTTCTTTCTAAATTCACAAACTAGCACATTAGAATGCTGCTTTTCACCTCACTTTTTCACTTAATAATAGATCTTGGTAACTTTTCTGCCTTGCATGTACACAGCTCCCTCGTTCCTAATGTCTGGGCAGCGGTTGGTCTGTGGGTTTATGTAGGGCATCCTTTCCAGGCAACGTCTGGCCTGTTGCTATCATAGCTGGGCAGCTGTGCCCATTCCTGCTTACGCTTCCCTGTGAATACCTGCAAACACATCAGTAGATGCCTCTTGGAAATTGATCCCAGGATCACAAACTGCGCATTTAAAACTTTGATGAGCTTGTCAAACTGCTCTAGAAAGGGGTTATGAGGCTAAGTGTTCTGTAAGCCCAATTTTTGTTGTTCAGTTGCTCAGCTGTGTCCGACTCTTTGTGACCCTGTGGACTGCAGCACGCCAGGCTTCTCTATCCTTCACTATCTCTCTGAGTTTGTTCAGACTCATGTTCACTGAGTCGGTGATGCCATCCTACCATCTCGTCCTCTGTCGTCCCCTTCTCCTCCTGCCTTCAGTCTTTCCTAGCATCAGGGTCTTTTCCAACAAGTTGGCTCTTCACATCAGGTGGCCAAAGTATTGGAGCTTTAGCTTCAGCATCAGCCCTACCAGTAAATATTCAGGGTTAATTTCTTTTAGGATAGACTGGTTTGATCTCCTTGCAGTCCAAGGGACTTTCAAGAGTGTTCTCCAACACCACAGTTCAAAAGCATCAATTCTTTGGCACTCAGCCTTCTTTATGGTCCAACTCTCACATCCATACATGGCTACTGGAAAAACCATTGCTTTGAGTAGAAGGACCTTTGTCGGCGCAGTGATGTCTCTGCTTTTTAATACACTGCCTAGGTTTGTCATAGCTTTTCTTCCAAGGAGCAAGCATTTTACAGACATGGAAATTGGTTTTTAAATTGGAAGCTTATCCAAGGCCCCATCATTGTAGTTGGTGGTAAGGCTGGGCTCCTCACCAGGTCTGTGCCCGGCTCTGGGGCCTCAGGGGACAGGAGAGGGTTTGTGGGGACCCTGTGCTCTTCCGGTGAGCCGCCCCCGACCAGGTCTCCTCTGTCCCCCTGTGGCAGCTTTACCAGATCCATCCATTCCACAGCCAGCAGATGTGGGTCATTGACATGGTGTGTCTGCACAACATGAACCTGGTGGCCATTGCGTCCACAGACCAGAAGATAGGTGAGTCCCCGCTGCTCCCCAGGCCTGCGCCCGGCCTCTGGGAGCCATGCATTTGCACTTGGAGAGATCTGTCGCTCAGCCAACCATGAGCTGGACTGGAGTCCCCTGGGAGGACTGCTGAGTGGTGACTAGTGAGGCTGCTCACCATCGCCAGAGATGACCGCCCCCCCCCACCCCCGGCCTGGGACACGGGTTTGGGTTCCCATGCGGGCCTCCTCCTCTGTCTCTTCCCCAGAGTTCTTTGATATCAGCAGCCACAAATGTGCCCGGGTCTTCACCTTCACTGATCTGGACAGCTGCGTCCTGACCATGAACTACTGGTGAGAATCCTGGGAGAGCGCTGCAGGGTCTTGGCAGCAGCCGCATCACTCAGTGGGTCTGGGGTCTCCAGAAAGCCTCTCTGGAAGCAGCTCTGGAGTGACCCCACCCTCTGCGCCTATGTCCTCTTTCCGCCAAGCCGCTCCTCTTTCGGGCCCGTCTTCGGGGTCACTCAGACCGCAGAGTCGTCGTCAGCTCCTCTTCCTTTCCCTCCCGCACCGGGTCAGCCGTCAAAGCTGGCCTGTCCTGCTGTGGCCTGAGGGCTCTGAGCACATCATGGCCCATCAGTAGAGTGACCTGGCAAAGAGCAGCCAAAGGACTAGGCAGCCGTTTATTTTGCTTTTTTAAAAATGTGCTGATTTCTCTTGGACCTGGTTCCCTGATGGTCTGGATCCGGGTGGCTGGGCCCATGTTTGCTGGCTGTTGGGGTCCAGGCTGGAAAGCTGTGTGGGCTCTGCCCTCGCTCCTGGGGTGGAGGAGGGCCTCAGAAGCCAGGGAGGGGTGGGCGGTGGTGCCAGATGTGCTTAGCTGCTCCGCAGTCTCCTCTGTCTCCCTGTTCCCAGGTCGGACTATCACAGGGCTGTGTTCTGCTATGGGGACACCAAAGGCAATGTCATCATCTTCACCTCTGATGATGTGACCACCGGGCTCTTCAACCCCCGAGTCCTCCCCAGGACCTCCAAATGGGGTAGGGAGACGTGGGGAGTCGGAAGAGATGGTCCTGTCCTGGGAACTCCTCCCCGTCCCATCATTGGGGAGGTGGTACACCCGTGTGCTCAGCTCAGAACCACCTATAGGGGGTAGGGGATGGGGGACAGCGGGGCAGGGACAGGACTGAGGAGACAGGCAGTCTCTCTGAAGGTGGGAAGTTGTGCCTGTGAGGGCTGGTTTGGGGGCTGAAGCAGGGAGTTTTCAGAACCCTCCTCATCCCAGGGAGAGAAAGCCTGTGGCAGCTGTGTGACCCCTCTGGGCCTTGGGACAAGGGCATGCTTCCTCCATCGTGTGAGCAGAGTTCTGCTCCCCGTGGCTGGGAGCTGCCTGTGGGTGGGCAGTGGGGCGGAGCTGAGAGGCTGCCCTGAAGGTGGGCTCTGCGGGCCGGAGGAAAGCCCAGCTCCCCAGCATGAACCAGCACGTGACCTTCACCGAGCCCTCGGGGGCTGAGCTCATCACCTCCTGCAGTTCACCTGCACCAGGAGGGGCTGATGTTGTCACCGTCTGTTAAGGGAGGAGCAGGGAAGGCTGAAGGGGGTGAAGGCTTGCACAGGCCCCACAGTGACGACTGAGATCCCAGGCAGGCAGTCTGCCCCAGAGCTGGCACTTGAACCTCTTGCTGGGCTGTATCTCAAGCTGACTAAATGCTGGAGGGTGCTGTTTGGGGATGCTCTGCCAAGTGGCAAGGGATCCCACAGCCTCGGAGCCTGGGGCTGTCCGGGGCTTGTCTGGACTGGACCCTGGCCAGGATTGAGGCTTCGACCCACAGTGTCAGTTCTCCAGGACACTCCACATCCATCTAGCGGAGGCAGAGGCCACTAGGGGCCCCAGCTCCCAGGAACACTGACTCCCCTCCATCCAGGACTCCAGAGCGGCTGCTTGGGCTTCCAGTCAGAGTTTCTGAGGAGGACTCTCTCCAGGGGCTCCCAGGTCTTGGTGACACCTCCTGCCTAGCTTGTTGGGCAGCATCTACCACTGGCCATGCAGAAGACGGGTCCTGTCCTGGACGCAGAAGGGGTCTGGCACCCCATGTGCCTGCCTCATCAGCCTCTACCCCTGGTGCCCACCCTGCCCTGAGCCAGCCCACCCTGGTCACTCTATGCCACCCTGCAGATTGGCACAGGAAACTGTGGAGGTCTTTGAGCTGAGTGGTGGACAGGAAATTGGAAGGGAGGTAGATGAGACTGGAGTGTTGGACGGGAGTCTTTCCACGCCACATGCTGCCTGGAGGCTGGGGACAGACAAGAAGGGGCATCCAGCAGTGTGTTGACTTGGGAGGGGCTGGACAGACCAGCTCTGTGTGACCTGGACCCCTTTGCTTAACCTCTCTGTGCCTCAGTTCCCTTATTTGAATGGGGATGAACACATTCACTTCATGGATTTGCTAGAAGGTGGAAGGAGAGAAAGTGGAGGGGCAGGGCTGTGCTCACCACACATGCTCCAGACATGCTTGCTTTACGACGCATGCATGCAACTTCTTCTTGGAACTTGTATTTGCCAGACAAGATGGGGCCTGTAGTTTGAAGCAGAATGACAAACTCCCAAATGACTGTTTTCAGAATGAATAAGAGCCCAGGATCTCAGTTCATTCTCTGCCCCTGCAGAGTCTGAGCTCTCTAATGGAGACTCAACAGGGGAGAGTTAAGTCTCTAAAATCTGGCTCCAGCTCAGCTAGGGGCTGACAAGGGGATTCTGGGCAGCGGTGTTTATCGGCTCGGGTCCGTTTTCTGGGTGCCAAGTTTAGTGTCTGCACTGAACTTGCCAGGACACAGGGAGGCTTGAGCGAGCCTTTGTATGGGAATGCCTTTTGAGATGCTTGGGAGTTGCAAACCAGCTCAAGGGGTCTTGCTTTTGAGGTCTTGTTTGTCCTGCAAATGGGAAGACCTGGTGACCTGGGCCTTGATTTTCTCCCCTATCAGATAACTGGACCAACGTTTCTACCCAGAGGCTTCTAAGTGAGAAGTCCCCTATATATAGAAGTTACCGGCTGAAGGTAAGGGGGCTCTTTCCTCGGCTGTTTCCATGGTAACTAGCTGTACACATGTACCACTCAGAAATAAACACAGCAGGTGGATCTGCCCTTGGGTCTGTGGCGTTGGGCACTGGTCCCTGAGGAAGGAAGGGGTGGAGGCACCTGCTGGATCCCGCCCGGCTCTTTCTGCAGAATCCCCAGGCGAGGCTGGTCTCTCTCACCACCTTCCTTGCTCAGACACGCCCCTCCTGGTGGCTTCTCACCATTGCCCAATTCCTTTCTCCACATGGTGCTTTCTGCATTCAGCAACTTCAAGAAAGATGAGCTAGAAATATAGTCAGGTCACTCCTTTGCTCAAAATCCCAGTAGCTGTCCTGTTTGAACAAAGTCTCAAGTGCACCCACGACCAGGACAGGAAGGGCCTGGCCCCTGGCTTGTTTCTGGTCTTGCTGTCTATCCCGCTTCTCCTCCCTCTGCCACAGAAGTGCCAGCAAACTTTGCTTTTCTCTGAGTACGGAGCCCTTCCCTGCAGGGCCTGACACGTGCCGCTCCTTCAGGCTACCATGTTCTCCCCCACTCACTGTACGTACCCCTCTACTTCCTTCAGGTCCCACCCAACCAGCCTAGCACAGCCCTGCTCGCCATCCGCCTCTGCCTTCATCCCCTCACTGCAGCGCTGATAGCAGTTGTCCCCAACCTGGCATGAGGGAATGGTTTCATGGAAGACAGTTTTTCCATGGATTGGGGTGGGGGATGGTTTCAGGGTGATTCAAGCGCATTACATTTATTGTGCACTTTATTTCTATTATTGTTACATCAGCTCCACCTCAGATCATTAGGCATTAGATCCTGGAGGTTGGGTACCCCCTGGCATATAGGATTATGGCACCTGTTACAATGATTGTTTTTCTCCCATACCTCTGAGCTGTTCTGTGACATGAGTTGGCTTTCCTACAATTCAACTCAATCCTAACACTGTCTACCCAAAGATAGCGTCAGACCCTGCAAGTTAAGGGTCCCATGAGACTGCCCTTCACTTCTGATGCCAAGTGCAAGTTCAGGTTGTCACCTGTGCTTCTGACCCACCAGCATAAATGAGGTTTCCATGACCCGCCTCCTTGGGTTTGATTAATTTGCCAGAGCAGCTCACAGAACTTGGAGAAACGTTTCACTTTACTAGATCACTGTTTTGTTTTTTTTAATGAAAAGATGTAATTTAGGAGCATCCAGGTGGCAGAGATGCAGAAGGCACGGCAGAAGGTGGGTGGAGCTCCCACCCCTGTCTGGGTCCCCAGTCTCCTTGTACATTTTCTCCAACCCAGAAGCTTTCTGAATCCTGTCCTTTTGGGTTTCTATGGTGGCTTCGTTACATAGGCATGATTGATCGCTTCGCCAGCCGTTGGTAACCAAATCATCCTCCAGCCTTCACTGTGACAGGCACTTGGTGAAACAGCATGTGTGAAACCCAGCTGTGCCTGACAACCCCTCCAGTCACCTTGCCCATTCTTGTCCTGGAGAGGAAAATCTCCCAACTGGAGGGCCAAGCATGGGGCCGACCTCAGAGTGCATCCAGCCAGGCCATGCCCTTGGCCTGTGGGTTGCAGTCTTTTTTTCCACCCAAGTTGCACCAGATAACATCCTCGTGTTCTGCATACCTCGTCCTGACAAACACGAGGGGGGTGTGGGGGAGCCGGGAAGCACTGGCTCCCTGTCAAATAGGGATGAGGGGGGATGACAGGGACTGTGCACTAGGCAGACTTGGATCCATCCTTCCTCCCACCTTGGGATGGGGCCACAGAGAATGGTATTAGTATGCACTTGACCTAGCCTGTCCTCTAATCTATAAACAAGAGTTCACGTGACAGGAGATTTCAGTGCTTCTCACCTGTTCCATGGACAACTGGCGGCCATACTGTCCTGGTCACATGACCTGGGCTAGAACTGCGGGGCCGGAGCACTTTGTTGAAGGCACTAGACTCGGGATCTCCTAGCCCCTCCAGCCCCCGATACCTGCCAGTTTCTGGGAGCTGGGCCTAGACGAGGTGGGGCTGGGCCTGGACGACTGTGTTTCGGTTGGGTCTCCCACCACCACCGCTCTCTTTCCAGGCTCTCCACCTCAACTGGTGTCAACAGGTCAAGTTCATCCCCCAGCTGAACCTGGTGGCTTCCTGTTCAGCCATTGACAAGTCCTCTCTGGTGCTGACAGTGTTGCCATCCAAAGTCCCAGAGAGCCTCAAGTAAGGGGCACCCACTTCCAGGCAGAGGTGGTGGGTCTGGGAGGGGGTGGGTTGTGACACTGACCCTGGGATGCCGGCTTCACTTTAGCTACATGTGGCCATCCCTGCTGAGAGGTGGCCTGCCCCCAGAACAGTGGAATCTCCTGTGGGCAGTACAGAGGCCTGTGGGTCAGGCTGGGTACGAAGCATCACTGTGTGTCCTAAGAACCAACAGTGGGCTGTGGTGGTTGGAATGTGGGCTCTGGAGTCTGTTTTTTGTTTTTTTAAATTGAGATGGTCAGTTTTAAAAATTAACATATAATATTATATTAAGTTTCAAAAAAAATATTAAGTTCAGGTGTGCCATAGAATGATTTGATACTCATATATAATTTGTGAGGGCTTCCCTGGTGGTTCAGTCAGTAAAGAATCCTCCTGCAGTGTGGGAGACCTGGGTTCGATTCCTGGGTTGGGAAGATCCCCTGGAGGAGGGCATGGCAACTCACTCCAGTGTTCTTGCCTGGAGAATCCCATGGACAGAGGAGCCTGGCATGCTACAGTCCATGGGGTCCCAAAGAGTGGCATGTGACTGAGGGACTAAACACGTATATTGTGAAATGATCACAGTCTAGTTAACATCTATCACCACACACAGTTACACATTTCTTTTTTCCTTTCCTGTGATGAGAACTTTTATGGAGTCTGGTTTTAATCATTCTGGCGTTGCCACCAGCAGCAAAAATATAAGGTCTCTTTTATCCACCAATCTATACACAAAATTCAGCACAAAGGCTGGCACATAGTATGAAACAGTCAGAAAAATGTTTCCTGAGTGAAGGGATGAATGTGAGTTGCTTCATTTCTGTGAACCTCAGTTTCCTCCTGTTGTCAAAGGGGATGATAACAGCCCTTCACTTACCTCAAGGCTTACGTGAGTGAGTGCCGTACATGGCCTGTGTTCAGTAGTTGGACACACTAATTCTTTGGAGATGGTTCTAATATATTTCCTTCATTTTTGATTGCTTTACCCCAGAGGGAATATTTTCTTCTGCTGTCTCTTTTTATTTTTTGAAAATCAACTGTTAGGAATTACCTGGTGGTCCAGTGGTTAGGGTTCCACGATTTCACTGCTGAAGGTCCAGGTTTCATCCACGACTGGACAGCTAAGATCCCACAAGCTGCATTGTGCAGCCAAGAAAATAAAATCAACTGTTAGTCACACAGGTATATGTATATATGTAAAAAAGATTCAAACATAAATGAATCTGGAATCTTGTGGGGCCCCCTCCTCATCCCCTTATCCAATCCTCAAGTCCTGGAACTAACTCTAGGCTGGAGGAGGGGAGCATATCCTTGAGGTGTTGGGGAGGCTTCCGTCTTGCTTTTTGTGCTTTGAGGGGAGTGGTGTGGTGGCATTTTGCTTGGAGCTGGTTTGTCGGTTTGGTTCCTCTGATTTGGTGGGAGTATTACCTCGTCTTGGTGATCTGTCTTTCATTCAGCTTCTTGTTTTATTGGGTCTCAATGGCAGGAGGCTGTCACGGGGATTACCGCGTTGTGGCCACGAGGACCTCGGTGGCTGGCCCTGCCGCCTTTCCACTCCAGCCACATTGGCTCCCTCGTGGTTCCAGCATGTTCCTGCCCCCAGGCCTTTGCATTGCTCCTCTCTGCCTGTTTTTTTTGTTTTTTAAACATTTTTCCTTTTATGAAAGATTTTAAACACATAGAAGTAGAGAAATAGTATAATGCTTTCTAAATTTGATCCCTAGGTTGAGAAGATCCCCTTAAGAAGAGAATGGCTACCCACTCCAGTATTCTTGGCTGGAAAATCTCATAGACAGGAACCTAGTGGGCTACAATCCATGGGGTTGCAAAGAGTTGGACACAACTGAGCAACTAACACTTTAATATTCCTAGCACTAGTCCAAGTTAATCTTTACCCAAGTGTCTCGAAAACATCTTTTTATTATGATTTGGAATTAGATATGGGCAAGGTTCTAGGACGGTTCTGAGCAGAGGAGTGGTGTGGTCTGACATGCGGAGCATCCTTCTGGCTGCTCTGTTGCAAGTCGTGGTCGTGGTGGTATTAGTCGCTAAGTTGTGTCCAACTCTTGTGAACCCATAGACTGTAGCCTGCCAGGCTCCTCTGCTCATGGGATTCTCTAGGCAAGAATACTGGAGTGGGTTGCCATTTCCTTCTCCAGGGGATCTTCCTGACCCAGGAATCGAACCCGTGTCTCCTGCATTGCAGGCAGATTCTTTACCAACTGAGCTAAGAGGGAAGCCATATATGGGCAGGAGGGGAAATAAGGACACCAGTAAGGACACCATTGTATTAATTCAGGGTACACATGATAGTGGCCTGGAGTCTGCCAGGAGTGGAAATTGAGATATATTTTAGAGGTGGATTGCAGAATATATAGTTATACACATGTGCACAAACCCCATTTCATGTGTGAGTGCAGTACACGTTCTTGCCAGCAGGTGGCACCATTGACTGCTCTTGTTCGGTCTCTCAGTAGTGTCCAATGCTGCGAGCCCATGGACTGCAGCACGCCAGGCTTCCCTGCCCATCACCAACTCCCGGAACTTTCTCAAACTCATGTCCATTGAGTCCGTGATGCCTTACAATCATCTCTTTCTCTGTCATCTTCTTCTCCTCTTGCTTTTAATCTTTCCCAGCATCAGGGTTTTTCTAGTGAGTTAGGTGATGCCTTCTTGGGGCATGGCCTTTGCAGGTGGGGCCGGCACTGTCAACTCAAATTCTGCCTCTGGAGTGGCCTTGTGGATTCTTCCCTGAGTCCCACCCTGACCTTTCAATCTCTTCTCCACACAGCAGTCTCCTGCAAACCTGGTCTCCTCCAGCTGTCTGTTTATTTCCCTGCAGGACTTGCCATGATGTGTATATGCCCACTTCCTTGTCTCTCTATTCTTTACTCACTCAGGTGGTTGTCCTCTAGAAGGGAAGCTGCAGTGAAGGCAGGAGCATCCTGTCTGCTCATCCTGGAAGGACATAGGAACTGGGAAACCTTCGTTGAATAAATGGATGAATCAGCCTGAAATAATTTCTAGTAACATTTTGTGACAGTTCTTCCAGAATATTTCTTTGCACACATATGCATGGAGGGAGACATATGTGGTTTGACAATGCGGATGTTTCATATGCTTTTCTTGAACTTTTGAGTTTTAGAGGAATCCTTCTGGCTGTGGAGTAGGGAGCACAGGGAAGTGGGAGAAAGGCAGGAGGTTAAGAGCCCCCCACCCAAGGAGGCTGATACAGAAGTGAAGGGGGCCTGGTCCCTGGTGGGATGTGGGCAAAGAGGATTTGGGGCCTGGCTGAATAATGGGAATTCAGGGGAGGGAGCCTCTATGGTGATAACTAGGCTTAGGCCCCTGGGTAGTGGCAGAGGAGCAGTTCAGGGCCCAGTTTGGTTGAGAACATGCTGGAGTTGAGTTTATTTACTTATGGCTGTGCTGGGTCTTTGTTGCTGTGTGCGGGCTTTCTCTAGTTGCTGCGAGTGGGGCCTACTCTTCATTGCAGTGTGGTAGCATCTCGTTGCGGGGGCTTCTCTTGTTGCAGAGTACAAGCTCTAGTACACGGGCTTCAGTAGTTTCAGCACATGGGCTCAGTAGTTGTGGCGCATGGGCTTAGTCATTCCACAGCATGTGGGATCTTCCTGGACTGGGCATCGACCCGTACCCCGTGCGTCGTCAGGAGGATTCTTATCCACTGTGCCACCAGTAATGGCCTGGAGTTGAGTTTTGAAGGGAGAGTTTGAGTAGAAAGAGTTGCTGGGGCAGGATGTGTGGACATGAGGGAACAGCACACACAAAGGCACAGAGCTTCTAGGGCTCTGGGGCCTGTGAGGCCGTTGGGCTTGACTTTCTCCCTGACCTTCCTGGAACCCCTGCCTGGGCCAACCTGCCCTCCTGAGCACCCCCTGAACCCCCCTATCCTCCAGCCCTACCACACCTCTTCCTTTCCTGGGGCTCTGGTTCTGAGCCTCCTTCCTCTTCCTGTCACGCCCACGCTGGGTCTGAGTCCCGACACCCCGCCCCCACCCCCCCACCCCCCTCCTTGGCCAGGCTCCTTCTTTCCAAGTCCTCATCGTGGCTGCTGACAGTCTTCAGGGCTGTGTGAGGGGCCCAGTGACTCACAAGACAGCACCCCGCACGGGGACCAGCAGGCAGCAGGAACTTTATTCTCTCCCCTGAGCCTTTGGGTTTGCGTCCTGGGTGGGAGGACCCTCATCCCGGGAGAGTGAAGGTGCCGATGGAGTGAAGTCTCCTGCTCAGGGGGCTGCTCTCACCTTCACATGCAGGTGGGGGTGGGTGTCTCTTCCAGGCGCTGCTGGTTCCCGATGAGCTGGGGGCTGCAGGGTGAGCCCAGGGCAGGGTCCCAGGGTAGCGACTTGTCCCTGTAACCCCCACCCCCACGGCCCTGCCTCCAGCTCCTCCCACCCCAGGCTCAGAAGCTCCCCCAAGGCCACTGGTCCCAGCCTGCCTCCTTTGCTGTTGTAGGGTTTCAGTGCTGAATTTGAGAAAAGGGATTCTTTGCTTCGATTACTGTCCAGGAAAGAACGTCCTGGGTAAGTAACTTTTGTATCACGTGGAAGGTGCTGGTCTGGCAGAACTAGGCTGAGGGCTGCTGAGGGTGTGGGACCCATCAGAGCTGGGGGGGAGGCCTCGTGGCACCTGGCCTCTGGCCGCTCCAGTGCCTGCTTGTGGGCACCTGGGGTGGAGTGGTGACACGGGCTTGCTTGGCTTGGTGGTGGAGGGGATGGGGCGGGGAGGGCACGGATGCGTTGTGACAATAACTATCGTCTGCCAATCCTGGCTGGAGTCTGAGGCCTGCCCAGGACAAGGTCCCAGCACAAGCCCCTAGTGGCTGATACCCGATTTTCAACTCTAGTGACTGGTGGCTATGACCCCCTCATCCGCCTGTGGAACCCCTTCTTCTCAAGAAAACCTGTGTGGATGATGAAGGGGCATCAGACTTCAGTGACACACATCGTTGTGAACAGCAAGGACAACGGCATCCTTCTCAGTGTCTCCAAGGACAAGGTGTCACCCTCGGGGAGCCCAGCTCTGACACCCCCCTGCCCATAGTTCCTGTTTCCCAAAGATGCTGGCCCATGGATAGTGAGCTAGCTCAGCCAGCCAGGGGGCTGCCAGTTGGCAGGGGCCTGAGGCTCAGGGAGTGGGACCTCCCTGCCCATGGTCCCACCCCTGGCTGAAGGCCTAGAGGAGGGTACCCCAGGTGGCACCATGGGTCTCTGACCACCTCTCCCCCCACCACAATAGAAGCCTGAGCCCAGCTATGAGCTGCTCACCAGAGCTGTTTCCATGTACCCCAGCCTGGGTACTTAATTTGTGGTCCTGGGCGGGGCCCTTCGCTTAACTGGGTCTCAGTCTCCTCATCCAGAGAATGGCTGTTGAGGGGTTTAGAGGAGGGCAGGTGGTAAAGGAGCAGTGGCCTGACTGGCACATAGTAGGTGTACAACACAGGTGAGCCTTTCTCCTCCAGACCCAGACTTGCTGCCCTCAGCTAGCTCTCCCAGTGACCTCTCTTGGCTGCCCTGGCTGTCAGGGCCGGACTGGACCTTTTTCAAATGCCTGAGATCCTCTGCTCAGGTCTGTACTCTGCTCCTCTGAACTATGGGTTCAGGGTCTCTCCCCACCTACTGGGGATTGCACATCAACAGTCGCAGGTGTCTTCCTGCAGGGGACAAGGTTGTGTCTTCTGGGACTCGGTAGATCAGGAGCAGGCAGGGCCCTTGGGTCACCAGGACATGCTCCCCAGCACACCCCACACTTGTTATTGTCTGGAATGCTGCTGGCAGTGCTGGGAGCTGGGCATCGTCACCTCTGATGAAGACTCTGAGGCTGGAGGGGTGGGGAAACAGAAACAGACACTCACGGTCAGTGATGAGCAGAGCCAGGATGTGGATGGGGTCTGTGGGTTCAAGCCTCTGCCCTATCCAGCTTGCTGCCGATGCCCCCAGGTGAGGAGTGTCCTGCAGGGACTTCCACAGGCCCCTCTGGGGGCACTTCTTCAACCTGGGAGGAACCCAGGGGGATAGGCTGGCCTTTTGGGCCCCTATGTTGGCAGTTCTGTCTGTGCCCCGCCTGGCTTTACTGGAGGGAGGCCGGGGTCGGAGCTGAGTGTCTGAGGTTGGGGCACGGGAGGCCTGGTGAGGGCTCCATCCTCAGCTGATGAGCAGCAGGTGCTCAAGCAGGATAGACACCTTGGGAGGAGGAAACTGGGAGTAGTGTGTATCGCTCAGCTTCTTCATTTGACCATAAGCAAGAACTGATTCTGAAGCTGAAACTCCAATACTTTGGCCACCTGATGCAAAGAACTGACTCATTTGAAGAGACCCTGATGCTGGGAATGATTGAAGGCAGGAGGAGAAGGGGATGACAGAGGATGAGATGGTTGGATGGCATCACTGACTCAATGGACATGAGTTTGAGTAAACTTCGGGAGTTGGTGGTGGACAGGGAAGCCTGGCGTGCTGCAGTCCATGGGGTTGCAAAGAGTCGGACATGACTGAGCAACTGAACTGAGCGACTGAACTGAACCTGAACTGAACGATGTCTCTGGGCTTCCCAGGTGGAGCTAGTGGTAAAGAACCCGCCTGCCAATGCAGGAGATGTAAGGGATGCAGGTTTGATCCCTAGATAAGGAAGATCCCATAGAGGAAGGCAAGGCAATCCACTCCAGTATTCTTGCCGGGGAAACCCAATGGACGGAGGAGCCTGGCAGGCTACAGTCCGTGGGGTCGCAGAGAGACAGACATAACTGAGTGACTAAACACACATGCACGGTGTCTCTGTCATAGGCTTGTGGTCTGTGGCAGTGACTTAGCGCGGTGGCTGTGCTCCCAGGAGCACCTCCAGGCCTTGGGCCAGCCACATCCCTGGGGACCCACTCTTGACCTCCCTGCCGATTTCCCACCCCCAGAATATTCGTGTGTGGGACATGCAAGACTACCAATGCCTTCAGTCCTTCTGCGGGAAGCATTTTGCCCTGGGACATTGCCCCATCACCAGCATCTACTTCCACAGAGAGGACAGCTCGCTCATCTGCAGCACCTATTCAGTGAGTGCTGTGCGGGAGGGAGGCGGGCCAAGGCTGCACAAGGAGGAGGGGGCCACAGCCATGGTCTCTGACCCACGGGACACCGAGGGGTGGTCACATCCTGTCCGGACCGAGACTGCTTTATGTCATGAGGACAAAGCCGCTGGGCTCCGTGGCCTGGCCCTCAAAGCGCTGTCCCCTGCGATTTCCTGGAGGGCCATTTCTAGGCCCCCAGCGGTCACCCTCTATGTTGCTCTTGCTGATCTCTTGACCTTTGTCTCCTCCAGTCTCTCCTTCTGGAAGCCCACCTTGACCCCCAGGCCAGGTTAGAAGCCTTCACTCCAAGCTCCCTTGCCTGCCCTCGATCACAGCCCTTATGACTGTCAGGGTTACATGACTGTCTTTCCTGCCAAATCATGAACCCCAGGAGGGCAGGGCCCACACCCACACCCGAGCAGTCCCTCTGAAGGCGAGAACCTGGAGGGACCTACCGTGAAGCCAGTCTGTGAGCCATGACTTAGCTGGTGCCCATGTGAGGTCTGCCCTGAACCCCTCAGGACGGGGCAGCCTGGGAGAAGCACAAGGGGCTGACTGTCCAGGGTGCTGGTTGGGGAGGGCTGTGACCAGATGGAGGTTAGGGTGCTACAGGGGTGCTTGGCAGCCAGTAGAAGAGGTTCGTCCCAGAAAGGGAGACGAGGGTGTCATCTGTGGTTGAGAGGAAGTGGTAGCTCTACACGGCTCTTCTTCCCTCTGTTGGCAGGTGACACACAGTGTCCTTGTGCCCTTGGCTGACTCCCCCAGATGGCAGGTGTCCTGAGAAGGGAGTGGGTGGGTTCCTTCCCCTCTGCTGAGTGTCAGGACAGCTGTCAGCGCTTGTTGAATTCAACAGACCTTTGAAGTCCATTTCAAAGCAGAGAGTATATTAATTAGGCACTGGCCCATCCCTCAATGAACTCATGGGGGAGTAGCATAACAGATAATTTTAATAGAAAATGCTGTGCATTATGATGTAGATGTGGGCTGGGTGCTTCATGGAGCACAGAGAAAGGATCCTGAGCCAGGTTGGAGGCTAAGGCAGTCAGGGAAGGCTTCCTGGATGAGGGGACACCAGATCGAGGCCTTGTGCTTTTCAGAAGTTATAAAAGGGACCTTGGACTTGGGCTTTGGGGTTGTAGGAGCTCTAGGGTTGGAAGCTCTGATCTCAGGAAGTGGGGGCATGGAGTTGGGGTGAGGTATCCGCAAGCCTGCATGCAGTTGAGGATGTCTTGGTGTCTTGGTTTACTGGAAGTTTCTCCCTGGGGCCAGTCACTGACAGAGGGCCCTTCTGCCTGCCCAGCCGTCTGCCCCTCTGCCCCTGCAGATTGGAATCCTGAAAGGGTACCTGGAGACACACGGGCCTGGGAGAGCAGAGGAGAAGACCACGACCTACAGCACGCCCCTGTGCGCTGTTCTCTACAGCAAGGTTTTCAAGCAGGTCAGCGGGCAGCAGCCCGTCTCCAGGGCTGGCAGCAGGCACCGGGGGTGGGCTGGGGCAGCGCTCTGAGAGCGTGCATGGTGGTACGGAGCAGTGGGAGGTCGGCAAGCAGCCGTCTTGCCCCGGGGTTGCCCTGGGGAAGACCGGAGCTCCCCCAAGTGGCCTTTGGGTCACCAAACTCCTCTGAGCCTGTGTGCCCCTGGCTGCCACCCCAGGTCAGTTCTGGATGGGCAGCCTTCTTTCCATTGTGTGTGATGGGACACAGGGTGTGGGCTGCTCTTTGAGGATCCTGGGGTGGGTGTTGCTCCTGGAGGTCATTTCCAGGGAAACAGTGGTTCGACTTTGTTATGGAAGGGGGAGGGAGGCCCAGGCTGTGGTCCTGAGCAGAGATCTCTGCATTGGGCAGAGCAACTGAGCGTGTAGATTCTGACACGTGGGGACAGGAAGGGCTCCTAGGCCCTCTGCCCCCTCCCACTGGTACCCATTTCCTGGCCCGGGCTCTGAGTAGGGCGGCTCTGTCGGCTGCAATGTGGCCTTGGCAGTGGGAGGCCAGCGCTTACCTCTTTGGGTTTTCCTCTCGTTCTGGCTCCTGGCACCACCTCTCCTCATACCTTAGGGCTCCTCAATGCCCTTAGACAGTTAAAAAAAAAAATCCCCCTTGTCCAGCTTTTCTAGATGTTCTCAATGGGAAGGTTAGTCATCATCACAGTCGTGATGTTGGTTCAAGTGGGGTGACCTATCTTTACCCAACATTTCCCTGCTTAGGGAGTCGTCAGTGTATTTCCTGTTGTTTTTTTCCTATCCTCCATTGTTAATGCTTTTTCAGTAAGTGTCTTTTCTGGATTAGATATGATTTTCTCTGGAAAGACTGTGATAAATTCCATTTCAGAGTTAAAGGGGATTTCACCAGAGCGGTTCCTTCTAAAAGAACCATGCCAGTTTGCACAGGGCAGAGGAAGGCCTGTTTTCAAGAGAGGGTTGTCCTGCAGCAGGAGGGCCCAGAGCTCCTGTCTTCTCAGCACATTGAGTGGTGGCCGGGCTCCCAGCAGTCATGCCAGCTGGCGGCTGCCCTTGGGAGTGGGGGCCTTCCCCTCCCCAGGACCCTGGCTGTGTGCTCCCCCGCAGGTGGTGAGCGGCTGTCTGAGCGGCATGGTGAGTGTGTGGGAGGTCGTGACGGGCAGGAGGCTGATGGAGTTCTCAGTGACGGGGGACCAGCAAGTGGAGCTGACCGCCATGTCCCTGGATGAGTCAGAGGGGTGCCTGCTCACAGGCCTGCGTGACGGCACCGTGAAGATGTGGAACTACAGTGTTGGCGAATGCCTGCTGACCTTCCCCAACGCGGACCAGTTAGAGGTCAGTCTGGCCCATCAGCTGGGGCCGGGGGGCCCCTCACAGCTCCTGTGACCCCAGCACGTGCTATTTTCATGTCTCCCCGAAAGGCTGTGCACACAGACTCCCTGGCATTGTGCCTTCCTGAGCCTTTGTGCATGAAATGAAGATAGTTGAGACTTCCCTGAAGGTCCAGTGGTTAAGACTTCACCTTCCATTGCAAGGGGTGGGGCTTTGATCCTTGGTGGGGGAGCCAAGATCCCACATGCCTTGAGGTCAAAAAAACCAAGACATGAAACAGAAACAGTATGGTAACAAATTCAATAAAGACAAAAAATGGTCCACATAAAAAAAAATCTTAAATAAAATGAAGATAGATAATAGGGCCTCTCCTCCACAGACGTTCTTCAGATGTCAGCTACTCTTGCTCTTTTAGTGTGTTAGCACTACTCATCTTATATCTTGGGAGGATTTTCCCAGGTGGCTCAGTGGTAAGGAATCCACCTGCCAATGCAGGAGACTCAGGAGGTCCTGGGTCAGTGGGTTCGATCCCTGGGTCAGGAAGATCCCCTGAAATAGAAAATGGCAAACTGCTCTGGTGTTTTTGCTTGGGGAATTTCACGGACAGAGGAGCCTGGTGGGCTGCGGTCCGTGGTGTCGGAAAGAGACATGACCGAGCAACCGAGCACACAGGCACCCTGCATCTTAGGGCTTTAGGTGGCATTGTTGGCAGTGGGGTCATGTGATTCAGAGCCACCCATACCCCTGTTTGGGAAATGCCCGCCAGGGTGGTGAGGAAGGTCTCTGTGTGTGGCAAAGTGCAAAACCAGCAGTTCCTCTTTGGGACTTGAGCCTATTACAAGCTTGTGACACAGTTCTTTAAGAAACTCAGAAGGAGCACTTGGCCAAGAAGCCAGGGATTAGGGGCTGGTCCAAATCCTATTCCCTGGTGGCTCAGACGGTAAAGCATCTGCCCGCAATGCGGGAGACCCGTGTTCGATCCCCTGGTCGGGAAGATCCACTGGAGAAGGAAATGGCAACCCACTCTAGTACTCTTGCCTGGAAAATTCCATGGCTGGAGGAGTCTGGTGGGCTACAGTCCATGGGGCTGCAAAGAGTTGGACACGACTGAGTGACTTCACTTTCACTTTCCGGATCCTATGACTCAGTTGTGTGACCTTAGCCAGGCTTGACCTTGGCTTCCCTCCTGTCCCCTATAAGATGGACATGGACACTTGCCCAACCTGCCACCTCCAAGTCCATCACATGGGTAACGGGATGTGAGAGCACTCTGAAAAAAAATATGGTGGTTTCACTGCTAGGGAAAGTCTCAGCATCATGGAGAATTTGGATTTCTTGCTTGGTTTGGTTAGGAAGACACTTGGAGCCTGGGGCCATTTTCTCTAAGGTACCTTAGAGTTCTGTTTCCTTTCCTCTTCAATAGATTAGTGGGATTGTCCACATGAACAAAGTGTTCTACACGACTGGATGGAGTAAGAGAATCACTTATTACACGTGAGTAGCCAGGGCGCAGGGCTTCCCTGATTTGGCTCAGACAGTAAAGAATCTGCCTGCAATGTAGGAGACCTGAATTCGATCCCTTGGATGGGAAGATCTTCTGGAGAAGGAAAAGGCAACCCACTCCAGTAGTCTCGCCTGGAGAATTCCATGGACAGAGGAGCCTGGCGGGCTACAGTCCATAGGGTTGCAAAGAGTTGGACACGACTGAGCGAGGAAATCACCACCACCAGCCAGGGTGCACGTGGGAGGTGAGGGCAGCTGACCCTTCTCTCTTTACTAAAGATGGGTTCCTCCATCCCTAACTTTGCTGGCGGTTGGAACACCAAGCAGGAAGTTAGTGCCGGGTGAGGTTTACTGCTTCGTCCTCTCATCTATCCACTTATTTATCACTCCATGAGGCCAATAGGCTTTGTACTAGGTGCTAGGAATAAATATAAGCAAGAACATGAAGTCTCCATCCTCCTGGAACTCGGACACTAATCAAATAACTTAATTTATAATGATAGTCTGCTCAGTGCTATGAAAAAAAAAATACAGACTTCTATGGGGAGGGGACGAAACCTGATCTAGTGTCAGGGGCCATCAGAAAAGAGTCATCCGAGGTGACATGGATGGAGTGGGATCTGAAGAGTGAGCAAGAGAGGTCTTAGTGAAGCAGTGAGGGGCTGGGGACAGGAGCGACATTATAGGCAGAGGAGTAGCAAGTGTAGGGTCCCATCCTCTTCAGAGAGCCTTTCTAGAGTCATGGTTTCCCCTTCTTTCAGCCTGAGGTCTTACTCAGGTGTCAGAATGGAGCGAATCCGTAAGACTAATGTATGTGAAGCCCCTAGGACCAGACCCTTACAGCAGGCACATAGCAGATGCTCAGTTAATGCGGTCAGCAGGGCAGAGCTCCAACTCTGCTCTACACCTCCCCTGGAGGGGTCCTCCTCTGGGTCAGTGCTTGGGATCCTAGAGACTTAGATGTTCTTCTCCCAGGCTACCAATAAAGCTGAGTGCTCCACCCTCCTGCCTCCGGGCACATGTGCAGGTTCCACAAGATCAAGCCGGTGCTCTTATGCTACCACTGGCAGACCTTCCACACAGAGGATGTCCTGAGCATGGCCAAGTACCAGAACCAGTTCATCGCCACCTCCTCCTACAATGGGGACATCCTGTTCTGGAACATCAGCACCTTCAGGCCCATCCTCAATTTCAACGCCTCTCAGAGCCCCTTGCCCTTGCTGCCCAAGAGGGTAGGGTCAGCAGAAGCATGCTGTTCTCTTCGCGCTCTCTCAGCTGTGGGCCAGAACCATGTAGGGCTGGGGGGGTGGGTCAGGGACACCCTGGGAGTTGGAAGGGAGTGATAGTGACTTGTTCTGAAGGAGTTTGGGAGCTAGGGAGGTAGGTGGTAGTTTTTATAATTATCCTCACTTGACAGATGAGGAAACAGGCACAGAGAGGTTAAGTATCTCTCCTGAGGTCACACAGCCATCAAGTAATAGATCCAAATCCAGGCTGTCTGACTCCAGAGCCTTGTGGCTCTAGTCCTATTCTTCCGAGGAGATTACTGTCTCCTTGAAGGTGGCTCACACTGACCCATCGCTACTGCAGATTATTGCTCTGGGCTCACTGGGCTCTTGGTAGGACATGGGAAGCCCCCACGGTCTCTGAATGACTGTATCTTTGCAGATTAAAGCTGGAAGGGGCCTTCAGGGTCACCCTGTCCAGTAGTTTTCCAAACTTGTGGAGAGAGACTTGGAGGCTATTACAGCAGCTTCTCCAGAATGCTTCAGCTTTTTGTCTATTTTACACTTTGGAGTTTCCCTTCAGACTAAAAACTACTTCAAAAATACTTGGAAAGCACTGTCCACTTACAGATGCGGAGACTGAGTCCTTCATGGGCACTGTCCCCTGCCTGTGGGTGCCCCGGGGACAGGCTTCTAAGCTCTGGTTCAATACCATTAACAGTACAGGGTTTCTGGGAAGCAAGTCCAATGCACCCGGAGGGCCCCGTGGTGTTGGCATTGGGCAGGGAGGCCTCCCTTCCATCCAGGACGCAGCAGCGCCTCACGGGGCTCCCTCCCACGCACAAGTGAAGGATGTGGACGACTGTGTGTTTGATAGCCACAGGCCCAGCAAGCCCTGCGTCGAGCAGGAGAAGTGGGCTTACAAACCGCACCCGCAGCCCCCGGGCCTCAGCACGAAGGCCACAGTAGACGCCAACCCGCGGCGGAACCTGATGTCAGCGCCTCCAGTGATGAGACACCCCAGAGACAAGGAGCCGGCAAAGCCAGTGCCCTTGAAGGTAGCTGCCCTGTGTCCCCACCATCCGAAGAGGCGCCTTGGCCAGGCCCGGGTGGGGTCCCTTCCGTTTAGGCCCATGGCTGCCTCGGGCCTGGGCCCAGTCTCTTCCAGGAGCACGGCCAGTACAGACCTAGTGTCCACAGGCTCAGGGTCAAGGGTACAGCTGAGGTTAAAGCCTTTTTCTGTCCTTGGGCTCTCATCACCCAGGCAGAGATGAGCCACCATGCCCCCTGCCCCAGAGAACGAGCTGTGGGGGTCTGAAGCCCAGAGGCAGCCACTGCTTCCCTCCTTCTCTGAGTCCTGGCCTCTGCCCCAGGTTAACCTTCTCAGGCTTGTCTGACAGCCCTGTTTTGGAGTGGGGGAGTTGGAAGGAGGAGCAGGGGTCAGCTATTCTCTCCTGCTGACCCAACATGCATTGGCCTCTGACCCTTAGCCATGAAAACCGTGATCTCCAGTGAGGGGCTTAAGGGACCAGTCAGATTGTCTCGGCACCTGCAGTCTGATTCCCATTCCAGGGAGATGGGCAGACCCAGAGGGCTTGTGAGGCACAGGGCAGTCTGCACCTCAACCCACACGACCTGCTGGATACATGCACACCTGTCACTCTGAGGCTCTCAGACCATCCTTGAAGTGTCAGGGTTGCATAACTACATACACACCCCTTGATCCTCACCTCTAGCCACAGTGTCTTTCCCAGGATGAAGGAGGGGGCTTCCCCAAAGCCAACTGTGCTCTCTGCCCAGAGAGCAACGCTGCCGGTAACTTAAACCAGAGCTTCTCCAGTGTCGGAGTGTCTTTATGCCCAGGATCCTTTGGACACCCAGCTGTATCTTTTGGGGTGGGGTGTCCACTCTTTCAGCATTTGCCTCTGTCTCTGTTCCCCAGAGATTGTCTCAAGCTGAACTGAGAGGTCCATTTATTTTTTTTCCAGAAACCTCTCAGTGCTAACAGCCTCAGTCAGTCAAGATTATCCCTTGGCAGATACTTAACTCTCAAAGAGGTTGAAAGGAAAAAAGCAGACTTCCAGAAGAAGATGTTGCTGCAGTCCAATGCATCGGTGGAGAAGGTTGGTCATGCTCAGGCAGGGGCTGGGTTGTGAGCCAGGGGCTGGGCAGTTGGGTTGCAGACTGGAGATGTGGCACCTGGGGGTCTGCGGGCCCAGCCTCATTCTCCCAGGACCTGGAGAGGCCTGTTGGAGATGATGGCAGTGCTCAGGATCTTGGCAATGGGGCTGCCATTTGAGGGGTGTCCCCAGTGTTGGGGGGCTGTCTAGGGAGGGGAGCAGTGTTCCTTCCTGGTAAGGGGGCTGGACTGGGAAGTAGGAGATGTGGCATTTTCAGAACCCACTGGTGAAATGCCCTGCTGAATTTTGCGTGACACGTGAGTGCGGACCGGGTTATCTCTGTTCTTCCTCCTCCTGTACCTTCCTCCTTTCTGAGCTTGGACACATCTCCGTTTGCTGTCAACCCTGGGTAAGGTGACCTCTAAGGCCCCTTCCAGGTTTAATCTGAAATAATAGGGTAATTCTATATGGGCCTCCTAGGTTCCTACCATGAGCCCAGTGAGAATGTAATTAATAGCTGTAAGTTGCAGCAGGACTGCTCCACGGCCCAGCTTCTGGGACTCAAGAACAGGGGAGCAGTGTCCTGTGGGACTGGGTCCTGTGGAATGGAGCAGAGAGCCACCAGTGGCTGGACCTTCTCTCCTTCAGGTTCTGAATGTGCTCTCCTCTGTTTTAAAAAAATGGCTTAAAAAAACCCTCCAAAACTTAAAAAAGTAGTATTGGTTAAAAAAAATAGAAATATGTGTAAAGCAAAAAATAAAAGGTCCGTGTTTCTCACTGTGTACTCCATCTCATCCCCCAACAGCAGTAGTCACAATCACTGCTAACAGGCTGGTTTAGCTTTGTCTTTTTTTTTTTAAGGGGAGTGATGTTAAATTATATAGCTATGTGTATTTGCTTTTTAAATTTAACTATACTATATTATAGATATGTTTTCTCATTAGTAATTTGGATTCCGCTTAATTCCAGGGATGGGGTCGCACAGAGTCGGACATGACTGAAGTGACAGCAGTAGCAGTATCCCTTTATTAGGTTAAAAAATTATTTTCTTAAATTTCCATTTCTTTAATAGTACATGAATCTGCATTTGTCCTCACACTAAGCCAGTTCTAGACATCATCCTTGTCTTCATTTCTGCCAGTCTGGTAGGTGGAAAATAGCATTGTCTTTTGTTGTTGTTTGTTTGTTTTTTTTTTGGAAGTTACATTGATTTTATTTTTTTTCCATTTATTTTTATTAGTTGGAGGCTAATTACTTTACAAAAAGCATTGTCTTTTGATATTCCTTTGGTTATTTGTGATGTTGACGTTTTTGTTAATTTGTTAGACATTTGCATTTCTTCAGTGGAATAAATGTATATTCATATCCTTTTCCATTCTTTTTTGTGTTAATTTCTTGGAGCTGTCTATATGTTCTGGAAATGAATCCTTTGCCTGTTGTGTCTTGGAAATATTTTCACCTCATCAGCCTTCATGGTGTCACACTGAGGTTTTAACTTTTTTTTAAATTAGGTAATTAGTTTTATTTTTGGTTGCTCTGTGCACAGGCCTTTCTCTAGATGCGGTGAGCAGAGGCTACTCTTTGCTGAGGTGCACAGGCTTCTCATTGCGTTGGCTTCTCTTATTGCACAGCATGGGCGCTAGGGCACGCGGCTTCAGTAGTTACGACTCATGGGGACTAGAGCGCGGGCTTAGTAGTTGTGGCACATGGGCTGAGTTGCTCCGTGGCATGTATAATCTTCCTGGACTAGGGATAGAACCCTGGCATTTCACTGTACAAATATATCAAGGGGAATGAGTTTGTTTTCTACATCATTCTGAGTTGAGTACAGGTCTTTAGAAAATCTTGTTTGCGCCTTTGGACAAATCAAACTTGTATGTCTTCATTTGGTAACCATTCATCAATCTATTATGATGTGTCAGGCAGTGTTGTATGGGATAAAGTCGTGAACAAAAAAGATACAAATCCCAGTCCTTGGGGAGCTCATAATCTGGCCAAAAGTTCCTGGTCACCAACTAGGTAGGTAAGGTGGTATTGCATCACTGTTCTCACTGGGCGACCAGGCGGGTGTGGCTCCCTGCCCCGGCGTCTCCGCACTGTGCCACAGGGGAGCTCCGGCCTGCAGCATCCCTGAGCGGGTTCCCCTCTCTCGCACAGATAATCTTCTTACAGACCAGGCCCCGCCTGCCTCACTCGGCGGCCCTGCTGAGCAGCTGCATGGACGGTCACATCTATGCCTGGTCCGTCCATGGGAGCGGAGGCCTGCTGGGCAAGTTCCCTGTGGATGTTGTAGACAAGGCGGACGTGGTTGTGGGTGCCATGGCCACGGATCAGAATGACTGGATTCTTGTTACAGGGGATTGCAAAGGATGCATCAAGGTGAGGAAGAACTGGCGTTGGGATCGAGGGGCTGGCATGAGCCAAGCTCTGGCCACCTCTTTGCCATCTGTGGTCCTTGCCTAGTCCCTACGCCCTCTGGGCACTTGTTTCACTTGTGACGCAGTGGGTGGTGGGTTGGGTTACCTCAGAGTCCCCTCCTGCCCTTGTGGGCCCAGGGAAGTGAGGGAGGGCTTGGTCAGGAGGCCCCCTGCCCAGAAGCCTTCCTATGGTCCTGTGCTTTAGAATTCTCTTCCTGCTACTCCCTCACCCCCAGCTGTGCATCTGATCTGTGATCAGCTGTCTCAGCAGCTGATTTTGTGTTTTGTGGTGATGTGAGGTGTGACTGTCCCGTCCTTGGGTCGGTCACACTCTCCCTGTATGCTAGCTAAAGGTCTGGCCTAGAAGATGCTGTGGTCCCCTCAGGGGTGTGAGTAAGAACCAGCTCCCTGAGGTGAAGAGAAATGGTCTGGGAGGGACCCTCAGAGCGAGGAGGTGTTGGGGGTTAAGGAGTGTTGGGCTACTAATCCACGCTTTGTGCCTAGATCTGGGACATCAAGGATTACTGCACACATTCTGACAGGCAGACGAACCATCCTAGTGATATCAACAAGTTTCGGTTCTTAATTTCTGAACGGATTCAGGTCAGCCTCCCAAACTACAGTCCCCTGGAGGAGAAAAAGGTAGGATGATTATTGGACAATTGCCGAGAAAAGTGCCTCTGAGCCCCACCAGAGTCCCACACTGAGATTCTGAGTCTTTCATGTTTTTCTGTTCAAGGTTGTCTGATTGGTGTGGAAAAGGTTTTCTACTCACCAGAAGTCACTGTTAACCAGTGAAACATAAGTATGCGCACACCAAATAGTCATGTGCATATATACATGTATGCACGCATGTATACACATGTATGCATATGTACACATATGCATATCTTCCATGGGCTTTGATCTTTGCAATTCCTTTAAAAAATAATGAAAATATTTATGTATTTTCTTGAGTAGGTAATGCATTTGCATGTGTGGTAAATCACTTCAGTTGTGTCCCAGTCTTTGTGACTCTATGGGTGTAGCCTGTCAGGCTTCTCTGTCCGTGGGATTCTTTGGGCAACAGTACTGGACTGGGTTGCCATGCCCTCCTGCAGGGGATCTTCTCAACTCAGGGATCAAACCCACGTGTCTTATGTCTCCTGGCGGGTTCTTTACCAATAAGGCCACCTTAGGAAGCCCAAATAATGCATCTACATAGTTCAAAAATCACTTGATATTTCCCTGATGACTAGTGAATTTGAGCACTTTTTCCTTAGTTGTCAGGAAAATGCAAATTAAAACCAAAAGGTGATATCACTACATATCTACCAGAATGACTAAAACTGAAAGGACAGGCAATGCCAAATATTGGCAAGAATATAGGTCAACTGGTGATAAACCATCTAAAATTGGTTATGTTGATGGTCGCAATTCTGAATATATGAAAAGCCACTGAAGCCAGCACTTTAAATAGATAAGTTGTAGGTGAATTGTATTTCAATAAAACTGTGTTTAAAAGCTATAGAAACGATAGGGCAAATATTCTTTTTTTTAATAAATCCTTATTTGTAGTTGTTTATCTACACATCTGGTAATTTATCCCAAGGAAGCAGTATGTAAAAGAACATAAATCTAAGGCCTTTAATGTGTGCTGCCATATTGCATTCCAGAAAGTTTATATAGGTTTTCACTTTATTAGTTTGTTTTGCTTTATCCTTGACAGCATAGAGTTTTTATCATTAACAGTGTTTATCTGAGTGAGTGCCCCCTGATAGATATATAAGGCATTCAATAAATAAATGCTGAAAGTAAAAAAAAAAACCTTTTAGCTGATTTTTAGATATAAATAGTTTCTTTTGATTTTATGAAAATATTTTTCCTTATATTGATATCTGCCCTTATTTTATTGGCTATATGTATTTTGTGAATTACCTCTTCATGTCCTTGGTCCATATTTCTTTTGTGGTGACCATATTTTATAAATGATGTACAATCATCTTAAAATATATTAAAAGATATTAGCTCATTGCCTGTCATATGTATTACAATCCTCCCCCCAGTTTGTCATTTGCCTTTTAATTTATGATGAGTTTTAAATTACAACATATTTTTTGGTGGTCAATTTTTCTTCCCATTGTGATATTTCCTGTTGCTTATCACTGTCTTATCAGAGATAATAATTCAGAGATAATAGTTACTCATTCTTTCTCTTCAATGTTTTATGGTTTCATTAAAAAGGATTCTTCAACCCTTCTAGTGTTTACTTATAAGGCAATGATTTAAGTTTCACTACTTAGTTTATCAGGAATTCCAACACTGTTGATTGAATCCTGTTCTCTATTACCACCAATTTCCTACCATTCTTGTCATTTATCAATGTTTTAAATATATATGTGGGTTGGTTTCTGAGATATTGTCTTCCACTGTCTAGTTTTTATTACTGTGACGTAAAGTACTTGAGTATGATAAAACATGTCCTCCTTCGTTCAGTTCAGTTCAGTTCAGTCCAGTCGCTCAGTCGTGTCCGACTCTTTGCAAAGCCATGAATCGCAGCACTCCAGGCTTCCCTGTCTATCACCAACTCCCGGAGTTTACTCAAACTCATGTCCATTGAGTCGGTGATACCATCCAGCAATCCCATCCTCTGTCGTCCCCTCCTCCTCCTGCCTCCAATCCCTCCCAGCATCAGGGTCTTTTCCAATGAGTCAACTCTTCGCATGAGGTGGCCAAAGTATTGGAGTTTCAGCTTTAGCATCAGTCCTTCCAATGAACACCCAGGACTCATCTGCTTTAGTATGGACTGGTTAGATCTCCTTGCAGTCCAAGGGACTCTCAAGTTTCCAACACCACAGTTCAAAAGCATCAATTTTTCTGTTTTATTTGGAAATAGTCTTGGATATTAACACTCGTTTTCCAATTAAGTAAGATTTTATTCTTTCATAGTGCAATGTGATATAGCACTCCATTTCTCACCCTATTCCATGCCTGATGCCCAACTAAATAGCTTGAAAAAAAGACCTGGGTTCTTGTCTAGCCCCATCACTCTCTGGCTGTGTGGTTCTGGACTGGTTACTGAGTGTTTCTGACTCTCACTTCTCTCCGCTCTGCAGTGGTGAGACTCATACACATCCCATAAGGTTATTCTGATGCTCAAATGAAATAACCTGTACACAGGAAGCTGGCAAGCAATACAACAATATGCAATTTTTTTGTTTGTTTTTAATGATTTTACTGAAGGGACCAGTGAGGGCCAGAGAAATGCTTGGATTTACCTGACGTCATCAGAAAGTTCATGTGGCGGTGTATCTAGAACTAGAACCCTGGCCCATGTCTCAGCTCCTTCCAGAAACCTCTGCTACCTCCAGTCCTGGGCGCCCTCTGATGAGCCAGTGTCTTGGGAGTTTAATTAATTCTCTTGCCCTGTCCCCTGTAGGTTGAGGCCGGCCAGACCATTTCCCTGATTCCACCCCAGCTTCTGAATACCTGGAAGGCCCATTTGGATAGTGTGGCAGACATCCTATATGTGGACAGCCTCCAGCTGGTTATCAGTGCTGGCCAGGACCGGGATGTCAAGGCTTGGAAACTCTCTGGTGACGCCATTGGTACGGAGGGTCCTGCTGAAGCTCAGTCATGCCCCATGGCCCTTCCTGGCCCTGACCCTGTTAGAACACAAGCTGGCATAAACCTCATATCCCATGGGGTGGGAGTTTCAGACTACAGTAGCTGTCTTTCCTCAAGTAGTATCACAAGGTGTGATTCTGTCCAATTGTCCATTCAGCAGTCTGTCCATCTGCTCATTCACTCATCTGCGCAACACTATTTGCCTTTGCATATCAGATCATATATCTGATAAGGTACATTCCAGTATCTTTTTAAAAATAAACTTAATTCTTGAGGTATAACATATGTAATGAAAAGGACACAAACCAGAAGTGTTCTCAGCTTAGTAAATTTTCAGGAAGTAAACATATAGCCATATAACCACCATTGTATCAAGAAACAGAACATCACCAGCACTCAGGGCTTCCCTTACCTCCTGACCTCCACTGTCTCTACCTACTCCTTTCCAAAAGTAACCACTGTTCTGATTCCTAAATCCAAAGCTTATGTTACCCTGGCTTTGAACTTTGTCTAAATGGAATCATTTGACAGTTTCTCCTTTGTGTCTGGCTTCTTTCTCTCAAACACCATATATTTGTGCCCTTCAGCCATTCATTGACTGTAGTCGCTCATTCATTCTTACTGCTGAGTGGTATTCTGTTGTTGATATCATACTTTATCTATCTGTGCTACTGTTGGCGGGCATTAGGGCTATTTCAGGCTATTAAAAACAAACACTGCTATGAACACCCTCATACAGGTTTTTGTTTTTTTGAACAAGTGTATGCATTTCTGTTAGATATAATGGAATTGCTGAACCACAGAGTATACACATTCAGTCTCAGTAGATACTGCTAAACTATCTTTCAAAGTGCTTACCAGTTTTCAGTCTTTCACCAGCTGCATACAGCAACTCTTACTGTCTCATAATTTTGTAAACACTCGGTATTGTCATTGCATTAAATTTTAGCCACTTTGGTGAATATGTAGTGGCATTTTATTGTGGTTTTAATTTGAATCCCTGATGAGAGGTTGAACATCGATTTATGTATTTATTGATCAGTTATATATTTTATAGTTGCCCCATGTCTCTCATTCTCTTCTGTTCTTTCCATTTTTTTTCCCCCTATCTCTGCATTCCAGTTTGGATATTTTCTACTGATCTGCCTTCCAGCTCATTAAACTTGTCTCCTGTATGTAGCCTGCTATTAAATCCATCCAGATACTGTATTTTTTAGTTCTAGAACACTCATTTGGTTTTTCTCTACAAATTTCGATTAGTGGTTGAAATTCTGCTTCTTTTCCTCCATTCTGTTGATATTTTCCTTTATTTTATTTAACATTTTTACAGTAGTTGTTTTAAAGTATTTACCTATTAACTCCAATGTCTGAATTATCTGTGAGTCTGATTCTATTGCCTATTTATTCTTTTGATTATTGGTTATATTTTCCTGCCTTTTCACATGTCATGTATAGAAAAACTCCAGTGAAACCAAACCAAACCAAAACCCAACCCAAATCAAAACCCAACCCAAATCAAGCTGAACTTTCCTGAACAGTGTAGAAAAGAAATTGTAAAGACTGAAGCTGGCATGATTTTCCTCCAATGCGCTGCTCTTTCCTCTGCGTAGCGCTTCTTGTCTCAATGCAGTTAGGAAGTGAGCTGTGTTGGGGCTGGGCTGCAGCTTCAGGAGCCCTAGTTTACTTCTGTGTTCAGTTGATTTCAGGGTAAAGCCTGTTGTATTTGTTGTTGGCGTCTTCCTTCAGTGAGACTCTTGACTCCTAGTGAGCTTATTCTGTCTTTCTAGCCCAACCTCCAGAATTTAAGCAACCGCAGGCCCCAATCTTCTTTCCATGCGGCAACTGCTCATTTGTCCTATGTATCTCTAAGTCTGTTTTTGTTTTTTTCATTTGTTTGTTTTGGTTTTTAGATTATATAAATGAGATCAAGAGGCATTTGTCTTCTTTAACTTATTTTACTTAACACAGTACTTTCTAGAGTCACCCATGTTGTCACAAATGGCAGGATTTCTCTTTTTTTATGACTGAGTCATATTCTCTGAGCTCTCCTGTAGGGAAAACAACCGTGCCTTTGGGACTCCACTAGACTTAATCTGTCATGCCAGCCAGATTGGCTCTTAGAAACTCTGCTGGTTTCCCTGTCTTCAGGTATCTTTCTTCTGCTAAACAGAACCTGATTCTCACTCACCATGTGCCCATACTCAGAAAAATGCTCCCAGAGAAGAAAGCAGTTCCCAATTTTAGTTCTTCTGGGAAGGACTCTTTCTTTTCTGTAATTTTGGTTTGTCTAGTCTTCTTTGCTTCTATAGCTCCCCAGTGATTTTTTTAAAATACAGTTTTTAAAGGTTACTTTCCATTTACAGTTATTACAAAATATTGGCGGAATTCCCTGTGTTGGGCAGCGTACGTCCTTGAGCCTGTCTCATGCCCTGTAGTTTGTACCTCCCCTCTGGTAATCACTAGTCTGTTCTCTGAATCTGTGAGTCTGCTTCTTTTTTATTATATTCATTAATCTGTTATATTTTTTATACTTATAAGTGACATGTTTGTCTTTGACTGACTGACTTATTTCACTTAGCATATAGCCTTCAAGGTCCATTCTTGTTGCCGCAAATGGTGAAATTTTGTTTTTTCTTTATGACTGAGTAGCTTTCCATTATATATATTGATATACATACCACATCTTCTTAGGTTGCTTCCATATCTTGGCAATTATAAATAAAGCTGCTATGAGCATTGGGCTGTGTGTATCTTTTTGAATATATTTTTGGATGTATACCCAGGAGTAGAGTTGTTGGATTGTATGGTGGTCCTATTTTTAGTTTTTGAGAAACCCTCATGCTGTTTCTCACAGTGGCTGCACTCATTTACATTCCCACAAATAGTGTACATGGGTTCCTTTTGTTCCAGATCCTCACCAACAGTCATTATCTGTGTTCTTTTTGATGATGGCCATTCTGATTGGTGTGAGGTGATATCTTATTTTTCTCCAGTGATTTGTAAAAATATGACTTTGTAACACATCTGTTTTGTTTTTCTTAATTAAAAAGAATTCTGAAGCATGAAAATGGCCTACAACTCACTATACCCCGCCCAGAAGTAGGACTCATATTTCTCTATTCTTACTACCTACTTTCTACTCCAGCTCTGATCCTCCACAGACCCATTCCTAATTTCACATCTGATAGGTGATTGATAGATGCCTGACAGTCTTGTACCATTGCCATTTTATATGTGAGCCAGTTAAAGCCTGTCTGGGGACTATTCAGTCATTGCCGTAGCACCCTCTCCATCTTAGCCTATATGTGTGGCAGGATGCTTTAGGCCTGAACTCCAAGTATATCCTAGGGTTAAGGTCTGACTCCTCCAGATATTTGCCAAGTAGCTAGCATAATGCCTGGGATATGTTGGGCAGAGTCAGGTGCAGGCCAGGAATAAGGGATTGCTGGCTGCCTCTTAAGGGTGGATGGTGAGGGACAGAGTGTTTAGAGGAGGGAGGGGCTGGCCAGTCTTTGCTACTGAACTGGGTCTGGTTAAATCACAGGGACATTTGGCCTGAGTGTTTGGAAAAGGCTGCAGGATACCCCAATGATGACTGATGGCGAACTAAATGAAAGATTAAAGAAGGAGGGTGACTTCTTTGGCCTCAGTGAGAAGACTTTCCATCTAGAGCTGCAGTGAGTTTTCACAATGATCATTGGTCATTGGTCAAATGGTCAACTCTGGTCTGGATTCCAGGAGGCCTCCCTTGTAGGGTAGTACTGGGCATATTTAGGTAGGGCCTTCAGAATGTCACAGGCATGGGAATTGTGGGTAACTTGACTCTACAGGTGGTGGCTGTGGCCTCAGAGCCCAAGGCTCTGTTTTAGCCCAGATCAGCTGTGAGATTGAGCAGTGAAAACCAGAAAATATAAAACCCCAAGTCCTTAGATGGGGACCCTGCTCCAGAATCAGGCTCTGGAGGCCCCTGGTGGGAGAGCCCAGGGTTCTGGTCTTGACATGTGTGTTATTTCTCTGAGTCGGGGGAGGCAGGTTGCTTGCTACATGTTCTTTCCTCTACAGGTTCCTCCTCCACCTGAGCTCTATTCTTATTCCTGACCAAATCTCAGATAAATTTTTTGTTGTTCAGGTGCTAAGCCATGTCCAACTCTTTGCGACCCCATGGACTGCAGCACACCAGGCTTCCCAGTGCTTCACTATCTTCCAGAGTTTGCTCAAACTCATGTCCATTGAGTCAGTGATACCATCCAACCATCTCATCCTCTGTCACCCCCTTCTCCTCCTGCCCTCCATCTTTCCCAGCATCAGGGTCTTTTCCAACAAGTCAGCTCTTTGCATCAGGTGGCCAAAATATTGGAGCTTGAACTTCAGTATTAGTCCTTCCGATGAATAGTCAGGACTGATTTCCTTTAGGATTAACTGGTTTGATCTCCTTGCATCCAAGGGACTCTCAAGAGTCTTCTCCAGCACCATAGTTTGAAAGCATCAATTCTTTGGCACTCAGCCTTCTGAGAGATGGTCCAACTCTCACATCTGTACATGACTACTGGAAAAACCATAGCTTTGGGTCATTCAAAAAATATTTATTGAAGTCCTGCTGACTGCCAGGTTGTGCTAGGCTCTGGACATCCAAAACTATCCAGACATAGGTCCTTCCTCAGAGAACTCCCAGTCCACTGAGGGAGATGAATACGTAACTCATGGCTACAGTTCTATGTGGTGAACAATAGGACTATTAAGACAGGCTTGGCTCAGAGGATAATCACCCGACTGGGTAGAGCAAGTAAGGAAGGCTTCATAGAATAGAGATTTTGGAGTTGGATTTGGACATGTAAGTAAGAGTTAGTCAGGCACCGTAGAGTCCCTGTGGCTCCTATGCTCCTATCAAGGCTTAGGCTTTCACAGTCCTGTCAGGATATATCAACAAGACAGAGGCAAGGTTCCCCTTGCAGGGAGAGGAGGTTTAGGTGTTCTGCAAGGGGAGGCCCAGGGGAAATCTAGATGGGGTGTCAGGCCTCCATAGAAGAGGATGTCGGGTGGTGGGAGGTGTCGCAGGACTTGTTGGAGGCCAGGATAAGCAGGGCTTTGTTAGTGTTAACTGCACCCTTGCCCACTGATGGGCCCTGGGCTATACAGCCTCAGGGGAGGGATGAGAAGGTTGGAGAGGATCCAGCCCAGAAAGGAGAAACCCGCCTGGGGAGGGATGTCCCATCATGTGGTACAGAGGGCATCTTGTGACGGAAATCCCCTCACATCAGGGAGGAGCGAGATCTTGCTGAGGCCCTGATGTACCAGCGGCGGGAGCAGGTAGTCCTCTTGGATCTCCTGAATGGGAAGGCAGACACGGAGGCTAAAGCCTGGGCCAGGCTGCAAAAGATAACCCCGACGTCCCCATGGACTGGAAAGCGCTCCCCAGAGGACATTGAGGATACCTGGTGCAAGTGGGAATCCAAGGGCAAGCAGGTGAGGCTGGGTGGGGTACTGAGTGGGTAGGGAAGCCCTCAACCCTCAGCCCCGAGCCTTCACCCTTGCCTGGGACCCCTGCAGGAGAGCAAAGTCCTGGGAGCAGCATACAAGCCCAAGGAGAGGTCGCGGAGCCCCGGACTCCTGTTTACCAACGTGCAGTACGGCTGGATGAAGCACCAGGTGAGTCAGGGTGGGGTTCCTCCCTGAGATGCTGGGCCTAGAGGCTGGGGGACCCACCTCCATCATGCCCACATGGCCCTCCAGTGGGGGTGAGGGGCGCACCTTTCCTTAACAGGATTCTGGGCCATAGGCAGCTCTGGGATGAAGCCGGTCTGGCTGGGTTGTTTGCCAAGGCCCTGCCTGAGGCCATGGGCACAGTTTTTGTCCTTGAGGACAAACCTCATTGAGCCTATGGGAGGAGGTTTTTTGTGGACCTGAAACCTGTTGATCACCTTCAAAGAACTTCCCAGAGTCTGCTTGTTTGTTGGGCTTCCCTTGTAGCTCAGTTGGTAAAGAAACTGCCTGAAGTCCAGGAGACCCCAGTTCGATCTCTGGGTCAGGAAGATCCCCTGGAGAAGGAAATGGCAACCCACTCCAGCATTCTCACCTGGAAAATCCCATGGACAGAGGAGCCTGGTGGGCTGCAGTCCATGCGGTTGCAGAGTCGGGTTCACTGCTCGTGTCTCCACACTGGGTACCATTCTGGAGCAGACACCGGGCCTCACAGTGCTAGGGACACAGTCAGCAAGAGACAGCGGGAGTGGAACAGGCCTGTGCTTGGGGAGAGAAAGGGACCAGGGACTTTGGAAAGAAACAGCCTGGAGTCCCATCCTGCCTCTTGCTTGGGCAGATCCAAGCCTCTCCCAACCTCTCTCTCCTCCTCAGGGGAGCTCCCATCCTCTGGGGTGTGGACTCAAAGGCAACCCCCTGGCCCCAGGCTGGGGAGGGGTCAGTGCCAAAAGGGAACTTGGCTTCCTTGCCCTTTCCTGGAGACCGGCCTCCCAGCACATCATGGCGAGTGCTGTCGGGAGAGGTGGGGGCAGGTCTGGAGAGTTCCTTACATTCGAGCCCCTCTCAGGGTCCAGCTCAAGGCCTCACTATAAGATGGGGACGGTCCAGCACTGACCTCACAAGACTGTTGGCAGCACCAAGAGGAGGGCTGGGGGCTGGGCCTGGTGCCCAGGGGGCTCACTGCTCGGCCGAGTGTGGTCATCACTAGTGTTGTTCAGTCGCTAAGTCATGTCCTAGTCTTTGTGGCCTCATGGACTGCAGCATTCCAGGCCTCCCTGTCCCTCCCAGGTCATCAGCGACAGGCGTGCAACTCTGGGGATGGCTCCTCTCTCACAGGATGTCCCCGGAGTCCATCCTCCCTGGGAACCCTGCTCTTGGTCCGTGCTGTTCCCCATGGTCCCCTGATCTGTTCCCTGCAGATCTCACCTCAGATATACCAGAGCCTGCACTTCAATGAGCTGGCATCCACCCAGAACCCTGCCTTCAAGACGCAAAAAGTCCTGGACCAGCAGAGCTGGCTCACCCTCCTGGTGACCCAGCGCATCCAGAAGGACCTGGGTCCCTACAGGGAGATCGCACCTGAGCACCCGGCCAGCCCGCCCACCACCACGGCCTCCTCTCCCTCCTTAGCCTCGCTGTCAGCCTCGGGCTCCAAGCTCCTGGCATCCGGCCTGGCCCCGTCCTAATGGTCCCAGCCCTCCCAATCTTTATTGCAGCCCCCGTCTGCCCCCGCACCCTGTCCTCCCCCGCGGATCTGTCCCAGGTATCCCGGCACGTCCTGCAGAGACCGGTGACCTCCCTGCCCCCCGGCCCCTCCCTCAGGCTGCTCTCCAGGCCTCTGAAGGCCCACCTTCCGTCCTCCTACATCAGGCTGTGAGGTGGCCCATCCTCTCTCCAGTCCGCCAGCAGGGCCACCAGGCTCATGAGGTCCTGTCTGTCCCTGGCTTACCCTTTGCCAGGCCTAGAGGGTACAGACCTCGCCCTGGCTCTCCCCACTCTGCCATCTGGTGAAGGCAACCTTCTTTGCCAGAGTACTGGAGAGGAAAATAAATGTTCTCAGATGTTGAAGTCCCACCGGCCTTGGGATTGGGCTGTGTGTCTCTTGCCCCTTAGGCACCAGGCTCTTTCTCTGATTCGGGGTCATGCTCCCCTAGGCAAGGGGACGTGGGGAGGAGAGTCCCTCCTCTCAGGACACCTGGTGTGGCTGTCTGGCAAGTGACAGGCCGAAGCCTGGGGCAGGGGCTTCACAAGCCCTGGGGGTGCGGTGGTGGGTGGTGTGAGTGAGTGGGGGAGGGGGAAACAGCCGAGGAGAGGAGGTCAGCCAGGCAGGTGGGACCTTGAAGACCAGGAAACGGCATCTGGAGTGACACTGAGTGAGATGGGAGCCATTGTAAGGGCTGGAGCCAGAGCGCAACGTGGTGGGATTGACGTGGAGCTGAGAGGAGGCTGCTCTAAGCAGTGATGGTGGAGCTGGTCAGAGGGCGAGGGGGATGATCAGGAGGTGAAAGTGGGGGGTGCTGATGTGCAGAGTAGACTGTGGGGGAGAGTGTCTTGCTCAACTCGGCTGATTTTTGTCCTGAGGCCCCTGTACACGGCAAGTCCTACTGAACTCCCAGGGAGGTAGTCATCTTCTCCCCATTTTACAGAAGGGAACAGAGGCTCAGAGAGGGGAAGTAACTTGCCCAGGGGCATCCAGCATAGAAGCCAGAGTGGGATCTGCACCCAGGCCAGAGCACACTTGAGCCCGGCTTCTCTCTCCTGGGTGCCTTTGTGTTCTCACCCCACACAGGCTGGGTGACCATGTGCCAGGACTAAATCTCTTCCAGTCCCGTCTGGAAAGCTAGGCAGACCCTCCGGGTGATTTAAAAGATTAAAATAAAAGACAGTGTTCTCAGTGGGTGACACTTGATAGATAGTCTAGGGTTGAAGACCTCTCAAAGTGGAGGAGGAAGGAGACACCTCTAAAGCCTGGTCAGAGAATCCAGAGAATCCAGGTCTCTCAATCCTGGTCTCTCAACTCCATCCCACCTGGCTTGCATACCTCCTGGGACAGGGGGCTCAGTCCTTGTGGCGTTGGGGACTGTTAGAACATCCTTCCTTGGGTGGCATCCATGTTTACTTCCTGCTCTGGCCCAGTTCTGTCCAGGAAGGTGATGAGGGGGTAGGCAGTGCGGATGCCAGACCGTGTTCCCCCAGCTTCTCACAGGGGCCACAGGAGAGCCCTAATGCCCACCGCAGACCCCTATCACCAGCCCTTCCTTTCCTGGACACCCTGTCACAGTGACTGCAGAGCTAGATAGCCAGGCCGGAATTCCTGCCCTGCAACTCTAGAGCTGCATGACCACGTGCAGGCCACATCCCTCTTGTTTCCCAAAGCTGCACCTCTTTCGTGGGGCTGCTGGGAGAAGAGGACAGGGAGAGGTCTGGTGAGTTCCCATCTACAGACCCAGCAGGGCAAGCCCTCCATGAAGGGTGCTGATGAGGGTCATTTTTATTTCTCCCCTCCCTTGCAAAGCCCAGGTCTCAGGTATCCTAGGATGTTGCCTGATGCATCTGTGCTCTTTTGAAGGGTCATCTGAGACCTTCCTTCCTGTCACAGAGGGATCTTCTGGAGGGGATGTCCTCACTTGGCCACATGATGGGTTGGTAGCATTGATGGCAGACAAACTGGCAGGTTAAGGAAGGAGCAGTCGCCGGGAGGTCTGCTATTCTGAGCTCTGGGGGGTGAACGAGGCCTCCCTTTCCTCCCCTTTCTGACTCCCGGACCCACTGCCAAAGCTGAGGGACACAAAGGGCTTGGGGCTGAGTGTTGGGGACAGATCCCTCCTGGAGCCCAGCCCCAGGGAACTGCCCCAGGGCTAGTGTCTGAGAACTGAACAGAGCAGGAGGCTCTTTACCACAGTGAGAGGCAGGACCAGGTGATGTCCACACATCCAGGATGGAGGGGGTCCTAGGACCCCAGAGTCTGGGCTAGCCTTCCAGGCTACCTAGAGCTTCCCATAAGCCTGTAGGTCCCATGATGGAGAAGAGGGGTGGATAGGGGTGTTCCAGTTTAGACTCCCTGACCTTAACCATGACACATGGTGACCAGCAGTCTCAACCTCTCCTCTGTAGGGATGAGTCACCCCCAGAGCCCTGGGAGGGTGAAAGTGGCCTGAGAAACCACTGTGATCACTGTAGGGCTTCCTACTGGCCGAGATGTGTGCGGCCTCAGAGATGGCTCTGGTTTGAAGAAGTAAAGGCTGTAATATTTCCCCCACTTTGTGTGAAGGGCTCATAGCCATCATCACAATTGACAAGGGCCTTCCACGCCAGGATCTGGGGGCCTCGGTTCACTCTGGCCTCCGGGAGGAGGTGAGTAGCAGCATATCCTGGGTGCATATCGGGAAACTGAGGCTAAGAAGGCGACTCTGTCCAGGTGGCAGGGTGAGGGAGCTCAGAGCAGGGGCAGGGCCAGGATTTTGCCTCATCACTGGCTCAGGGAGCTCTGAGCCTTGCAGAAGGGAGGCCCTGCCCTACCTGGCCTGGCGTTTAGGGATTAGTAGGATTAATGAAAATCCTGGGGCTTGAGCTAGGCTTACCGGAGGCGCCACTCCGGGGGCCGTGGGGGGTGATTTGGCGCTCTGTACCTCCGGTTCTGTCTTGGTCACCGCAGAGAGCTAACTCCCAGCCTGGCTGGCTGCCCACTCCTCTGCTCCAGTCTAGTGGGTGGGCCCGGTGGCAGGAGGGCAGCCAGCCTTGTGCATTGTGGGCCTGGAACGGGTGTGGGGCGTGGGGGTGGGCCACGAGGCCGCTTTGTCCTCCTGCAGGATGCTGCCCCAGAGCCAAGCCCCTTCTGACCAGAGCAGGCCTCTGTTGTGGGCCTTGGATGGCTCTGGGTCCCTCTAGGGGTCCATCATGGCAAATAGATGGGGAAAAAATGCAAACAGTGACAGACTATTTTCTTGGGCTCCAAAATCACTGTGGATGGTGACTGCAGCCATGAAATTGAAAGACGCTTGCTCCTTGGAAGAAAAGCTGTGACAAACTTAGCATATTAAAAAGCAGAGACATCACTTTGCTGACAAAGCTCTGTCTAGTCAAAGCTATGGTTTTTCCAGTAGTCATGTATGGATGTGAGAGTTGGACCATAAAGAAGGCTGAGTGCCAAAGAATGGATGCTTTCAAATTGTGGCATTGGAGAAGACTCTTGAGGGCCCCTTGGACTGCAAGGAGATCCAACCAGTCAATCCTAAAGGAAATCAACCCTGAATATTCATTGGAAGGACTGACACTGAAGCTGAAGCTCCAATTTGGCCACCTGATGTGAAGAGCTGGCTCATTGGAAAAGCCCCTGATGTTGGGAAAGGTTGAGGGCAGGAGAAGAAGGGGACGACAGAGGATGAGATGGTTGGATGGCACCAATGATTCAAAGGACATGAGTTTAAGCAAACTCCGGGAGATTGTGAGGGACAGAGGAGCCTGGTGTGCTGTAGCCATGAGGTTGCAAAGTGTCAGACACGACTTGGCGACTGAACAACAACAAGGGGCCCGCCTCCTTGTCTGTGCAGTGGGGTTGTTCAAAGGCACTGGGGACTGCAATGCACAACCCAGGGTCTAGTGATTTTGAAGGGTGGGTGCTGTGGGGCATGGAGGGGGCACTTCTGGGGCAGGTGAAGGGAGGACAGTGGTGAGTAAGGAGGACCTGAATAAGGCAGAGGGCTGAGCCGCCTGCAGTGGGGGCGTCCTGGTGAAGAGTAGCCCCACCCCCACCCTGTGGGTGAGTGACCCCGGCTGTGCCCTTCCATGCAGTCTATGCCCTTCCCTGCAGTCTGTGCGCCGGCTCAGCATCCTGTGGTGGGCGGGACGGGCAGGCGGCTCCCCAGGACACAGCGGGGACAGACCCAGGAATCCTGCCTTCCCTTCCGCTTCCATAACCCGTGCACCCGAACCGACTGGAATTTGAAATGACATGAGAAGGCTTGGATGGGTGAGCAAGCACTTTGGGCCAGGAAGGTATGGGTTGGTGTTGCAGCTCCACCACGCCCCTTCTGTAACCTTAGGAAATGACTCCACCCCTCGGTGCCTCAGTCGCCTTGTCTGTAGGGAGGCTTCGTCCCTGTGGTGAGGAGGAGGTGGGGAGATGAGTGTGAGCATACCTGTGCATTATGGAATGTTTGTGGACGATACACTTGTCCATCTAGAAAACTCGAGGAAGAGGACCATGGAGGAGTGAGGTTGCATGATTTGCTTGCACAGCAGCTCTGACCATAGAGAATGTCCCTGAGGGTAAAGATCCCATTTACAATCAGCCTAAAACTGATTAAAATATCTGGAACTAAAATCTGACCAGAAAGGCAGAGCATTCATATGAAGAAAGCAATGGCACTTGACTAAAGGTGTTGGAGTAGAATCCCATGTTCTGGAATGAGAAGAGCTGATGTGTGGACAAGACACTTATTTTTCATCTATGAATTCATAAAACCAGTGCAAATTTAGCTGTTAAAAAATCGCAACTTGACAAGTTGATTCTAAAGTTTGCCTTGACAGACTCCCCTGGTGGTCCAGTGGTTAGGATCATCTTCCAGTGGAGGGGATGTGGGTTCAATCCCTTGTCAGAGAACTAAGATCTCACATGCTGAGAGGCAGCTAAGCCTGCATCCCACAACTACTGAGTCCACGTGCCTCAACTAGAGGGAAGTCTGCAGGCTGCAACTATAAGCAATAAGACCTATTGCTGCCAAAAAAGAAAAAAAAAGGTTTGCCTTGAAAGAGAAGTGTATGAAAAACAGAAATAAAGAGAATGGTACTCAATATAGCTCCTGGAGGAGGAAATGGCAATCCAGTCCAATATTCTTGCCAGGATAATCCCATGGACAGAGGAGCCTGGCAGGGTACAGTCCATGGGGTTGCAGAGTCAGATGCAACTGAGCCACTGAGCCCGTGCACACACACTCAGTATAGCACATACCAACACACATTCCAAAGCTGGAGTAACTTGAAGAGTGCGATTTGATACAGGACAAATCAGGGAACCCAATGAAGTGGTGAAGCCCAGAGGCTCTGAACTGACTCTGTTTCCAAGCTAC